TGAAATGGAATGTGCGCACTACTTATAAGATGCGTATGGTAGGCATGTATCATTTATCAACAAGTGTATAACATGGGATGCATGCATTGTCCATTGATGTGGATGGGATGAAATGCTCATATTATCCTATCATGTTGCACATGGGATGAGATACATGTATTATTTCATCATGATGCATGAAATGCGAAAGATGAAACAAAATATGAAAAAAAAAATTAAAAAGAAAGAACAAAAGAACTAGGACTTGAAAATTAATTTTATTCGGTCAATAAACAAAGAATTCTTTAAAAAAAATCTTTAATTTTTTTTAGAACTTTTTTTTTTTTTTTGCTTGTTGGATTAATGCTAAAAATAATTCATTCTATTCTAAAATATTTTATGAAAATGTAAATTTTGGATAACTACCAAATGAATGAAATACATGTTGAAAAAAATCGTCAAGAAAATGCTATTCTCTTATTTCTACAAAAAGACAATGCTCTATCGAAGGTCGGTCCCCTAAGGTTCATTGTATGCTGAGTGAAGATTTGTTCATCTAAAGGTTCCCAAATTGATCCTCACTGGCATCCACACTAAACTAGTAAAGAACTTCTATCCTTACCCATTACAGGCTACAAACGAAAATGGTTCAATTTCAGTGAAAGTGTTTCGCTAGCAAATGTGAAAGTTATCATCTCACGAGAGCGTAGCTACTTCACTTTCTCCTAAAAGGGGTAGAGCCCGGGTATAGAGCTCATACATGTGAGCGAATATGCAAAGTATGCGTAAAGCAATGTATTAATCAAAATAACATGAATAATCATAGCCACAAAATCAAAATAAATTAATAACTAACATACAATTTATTTTATTTATTAACTCGTATATATATTTTTGAAAAATTAAAATAAGGGGATTAAACTAAATATTAAATAAAACCAATTAGATCCAACCATTGCTAATAGCGCATAATTAAAATTTTGGCCTGACTCTCAAATCTCCCTAGTGGAGTCGTCGAGCTGTCGTAACAGTTTTGAGACCGTCAGATGTAAAGGAGTTTTAAAATCGAAATAAATAAAACTGAGTCGTCACCAATCTTTCTTAGGGTGCGATTGGTCACCCAAAAGTTTATTTTTTTAATAAAACTATAAAAATGGGTTTAAAGTTTATCAAAAAGATAAATTTTAGTCTACGAAAAACTAGGTTGGGTCTGAAAATTGGCTACGTGCGAGAAAGGATTAGCATCGCCACAATGCTCATAAGTTGGTACCATTTAATTATGTGTTATTTTCGATGTTGGATAAAAATGGTTTTGACTTGAAATTTAATATTAATTCCATTCGTTTTGAAAAAATAAAATTTTGCAAAAACTCTTTATTTAGGAATATTGAGAAAATCTTAAAGTTAAAAAATTATTTTAAAATTCTTCAACATCTAGTCATAATTTAAAATAATTTTTTTCGCTAAAGATTTAATACGATAATCTTTAAAATAAAATAACAATCTTTATAGAAGATAATTATTAGTGACTCTTCAACATCTAGGCAGAGTACCAAGAATTATTTCCTTTGGAATGTTATTTTTATTTTATTTTATAATATCACAAAAAAAATTTTAAAATGTATTATTCTTTTTTATTATAAAATATTTTATCATCAAACAAAAAATTAAAGAGAGAATAATGCAGACAATTATCGATGATAACACGATAACGTATGAATGCTAATGAATGTTATGTAAAATGAAATACAATTTAAAAGTTGGGTTCTTAAGTATAATAAGACCACCCCGACTCTTCAACATCTATGCAGAGCTTAGGTGTAACTGTTTATATTTAAGATCCCAATTTACTATTATGCTTTTTACTTATTAATCTTATTTTTAATGCGAATTAAGAAATCGTGTAAAAAGACTTAACAAGGTAAAATTTCTTAAATACCCAATCATCTAGGCAGCATTCGGGAACAAATTACTTCAAATGAGATTTTCACACGCATCTTTAAGATTTTCAGGATGTTTTAAGTAAGGCTTGAGTAAAGGTTTTAAAGATTAAGGTTTCAAGATTTTGAAGATTTAGATTTTAAGAGTTTGGATTTAAGTTTTGAGAGTTTTAGGATTTGGTTTTTAAGGTATGAAAGGTTTAGGGTTTTGATTTAAGGGTTTGAATTTAACGGATCTTGGATTTTAGGATTTTGGATTTTAGGAAATTTTAGATTTTAGGGGTTTTTGAAACCTAGGATTTTGAAAATTAAGAATTAGTGTTTAAGGTTTCGTTTGTAAGAAAATACGAATATCTTTAAAAATCTCCAACATCTGTGCGAATTTTCGAAGCAAGTTCGATTTTAATGATTTTTGAAAATTAATTAAAATTTTCTTATATATTTCTTTTTATGAAAATTTATTAACAAAAATTTCTCAACATTTAGGCGGAATTATTTTTTTAGGAAAATATTTTTTATTCTCACCAATATCTAGGCAGGGAAAATAATAATAATTATTCTATTATTATTATTATTTAAGCATTTTTAATATATATTTATTTAATTGTTATCTTACTTATTTTCATTTTTATTATTATTAAAACAATTAAAAAAACTTATCCTAACAAATTTAAGAACTTATCATGCATAAATATATAAAAAAATACTTAAAATAATAAAAATAATAATAAATAAATAAATTAGAAAATTAAAAAAAAAATTTTTACCTGAACCGGACCAGTCAATGGTCCGATCAATGGAGGTTCGGTTGGATCGAAAAAGGGTCGGTTCGGTGCACGGTTCAGTCCGATTTGGTCAAACTGGTTCAGAGTTGCTGAGGAACCGAGTTGGCTGGTCGGTTGCACAAATCTCGGGTCAGATCGAGTCCACGCGCGGATCTCGCTAGCCTAAAACGACGTCGTTTTGCTCTTTAGTCTTTTATATATAACTAAATTTTTTTTTGTTAATTCTTTTTCTGTTTCAAAAAAAAAAGAGAGAGCTCTCTCGCTGTCCGGTTGTCGGATCGTTGCACCGACCGCCTCTTGGGTCACCGCTGGCAGGAGCTGCCAGTGGTCGTCAGTGGCTGAAAAATTTTAATAATACTCTTAAAAGTGCTCTTCAACGCTCTCTTCCTGGATCTGACATCCGTTTTACCAAAAACAGCCCGGATCAGCGTAGATCATGGCTCAAAGGTTTTGGTCTCCTTTTTTTTTTTCTTTTTTTCTTTTTTTAAAAAAGACACTGATGATTTTTTTACTTGTTTATAGGGCTTTTTGGCACTGAGGTTCCTCCCTACGGGGAGGATTGTTTGTTTTTATTTTTTTGTTTCTATTTGTGTGTTTTTGCTTGGGTATTTGGATATGGGTTTGAGGCTCGAATTAAGGTGCTAGTATGGGTATTGAGCTTGTTGAAAAGGGGGTTGGGTAGTAATGAAGGGTAAGCTCTTGGTATTTGGTGCCAAAAGGGTGTCCAAGAGAGAGTCTGAAGGGGAAGAGGTCAGGGGTTTTAAAGAGCTTCAAATAGGGGATAAATGGTGATCGTAGGTGCGGTAGGGTGGCTGTTTGGTTTGGTGACCAGACAAAAGGCTAGCCAAAGGCTGATGGGGGTTAGACAGGAGCCGCAATGACGTCGTACCAACCCTCTGATTTTTGTCTCTTTTTTATTATTATTATTATTATATTTTTTAAAAATATATATTTTATTATTATTATTATTATTAAACTAAAAAAAATATAGTAAACCCAAACAAAATCGATGTCTACACATTTATTTTACTATAAGAGAATCTGAACTTACTTTCTCTTTAGCTAACGGCTATTACTCTTTTAAGGCAATCCTAGAGATGGGAAGGGCGGCGATTTGTCGGGCACGGCAGCAGCTGTGGTTTGGCCACTAAGTTTATGTATGGCCTTTGTATCATGAAAATACATTAAACTATAAGATTCCAAGAATCAAAAGCTCCCATTATCCAAATATAATAAACAATAAAACAATAATACCAGAAACTATTAGGCTCTCTCGTTTTTCTTTGTTTTTTCCTTTCGATTCATCATTGCCTCCAAAGTTTCTTCATAGTCTTTGAAATATGGAAATGGACAATAATCTTTGTAAAGAATACTAAAAAAAGGGGCATCAAGAGTTTTTTGGGGATTGCCAACGTGGGGAAAAGCTAATGGGGGATGTTGTTTTTATGAATGTTTGTTAATGTTATCTAAAACCTGGGTCCAACGAACATGATTAAGTTGCATAATGGCTAGAAAATGACCCAAATCCATCGCGATCCCTTGCTCTCTGGAAGATGCTAGCCATCTTAATGATAATGGTAGGAATTGATTAGAGTCTAAGCAGTGATCATTAGCCGCCTTTTTGGCCATAAAATTAACTGTTACCTTCACAAACTGACGTAAGTGTTCACATTGGCAATAAAAAATAATTTAAAATTATAATATTTGGTTTAATTTAAAATTTTTTTATTCTATTTAGATATTAAATATATAATAAATTTGTATTAAATTTTGAGTAGAAATATAAAAAAATAAAAAAAATCGAATTAAATTATATATTTTATTGATTTATATATTTTTTAAAATTTTATAAATAAAATAATTATTTTATATATAAATTTATTTAATTTTATTAAAAATTTTATTAAAATAATATATAAAAAATTAATAAATAAAATTGTACTGAATTAATAAAATTCGATTAAATCAAATTAATTTTTAAAGTAAAAATCGATTCATAATCGAATTAAATTTTAAAAATTTATAATAATATATATTATTTAAAAAAATCGAATCAACTTCCGATCCGATATTATCCCCCAAATAGTAGCACATGAGAAGCAGTGAGTTGGAGAGTCATTTGCTCTTTTCTTTTTTTCTGCTGAAAATTGGAGTCATATGCCCGATGCAAACAAGGTTGCCTTCCATTATAGTTATTGGGGCATGAGCTTGAAGGCTTGAACCGAGCTGATATCTTCTTTCGATTAGGACAAGACAAGCCTCTGAGGAAACAAGTCAGAATTGTTTTAACAACTTCAAGTATGATGGGCCAAAGGGCAACATATTGGCGAAATGGGTTTGCAAAATTCTGTGAAAAACCTTATCCATACCCTGAATCTGACAGGATTAACGCCCATCCTCACACTACCAGGATTCAGTTCAGACCCATCAAAAGCACACTCAATTATGGGTCCACTATAAAAAACCTAATGGTGTAAGTTTGTTAATGTTGGGCCAAACTCTTTACATGGGCTTCATTTACAATTGCCGAATGATGACGCGCTTATGTCTAAGTTTTCAAATTTCAACCGACAGAAACACTGAATCCAAAAAACACCGCTTCAACACCTAAATTTATCCACGTCATTGATCCGCGGAGATACTTATCTTCATCTCAACCCTCCGTTATATCTTATCAACGGCCACAATTCATCGTTAATCATATCATACGGATCACTCTCTCAACTCAACACTCCCCACTTCCCCTATAAATATGTTCCCATACTTCACATAAAACCTCCGAAGCTTCAAAATTTGTTAATCTTGGTTCTATATTCAAGATGTCGGGGAGAGGAAAGGGGGGCAAGGGACTTGGCAAGGGAGGGGCGAAGCGCCACCGTAAGGTCCTCCGCGATAACATTCAGGGAATCACAAAGCCGGCAATTCGGCGTTTGGCTCGGAGGGGAGGAGTCAAGCGTATCAGTGGCTTAATCTACGAGGAAACACGTGGGGTTCTGAAGATCTTCTTGGAGAACGTGATTCGTGATGCTGTGACTTACACCGAACATGCGAGGAGAAAGACTGTGACTGCTATGGATGTGGTTTATGCACTGAAGAGGCAGGGTAGGACTCTGTACGGATTTGGTGGTTAAATGATTTAGGGTTTAGGTTTTGAGAATGGTCGGTGGGGACTCGAAGTCTTGCTGTCAAGAATGTTTGAGCTTAAGGGTTAGGGCTTGTAATTAGGGGGTCTATTAGGAATTGAGTTTGGGTTTGTTGTTTGCTTTTGTGATATGTAATTCGTGCCCTGAAATGCAGATTTTAATGAAAATTTAAATTTATTTACTAATGTTGTTAGTGAAAATAACTGAATTTATGGAAATTGCAGTGATAATGAAAGCAACTGAATGTTGTTACAACTACTGTGGAATCACTCAGCTTTGTGCTTGAACGATCTTTTTGCAGAAGAATAGCGCAGCCAAGTTGTGCATCTTCCTATGAATTTGAGAACTTCATCAATTAGAATGACTGGGAAAGCAACAGCAAGTACCAGGAGCCATTCGTTGAGACTGAGAGGAACAATCCCGAATACTTGAGCAAGAAAAGGCACGTACAGAATCAAGAAGTGCAGGCCAAATGACACTGACATGGCTAAAAGAAGCCATGGGTTGACCCAAGGAGGCATTGTCAATAAGCTTCCATCTTCAGAGAGGGCGTTGAGGGAATTGAACATTTCAATGGCCACCAAGACTGAGAGGGAAAGAGTCGAGGCTTTGATTTTCCCTGACTGAAAGTAATCGCATGGGTTTGTATCGAATTTGTATACTTGGGAACCTGCTTTGAATGGTGACGCTGAGAAACCTTCCCAAGAAGAGCATTGACCCCAGTTGGCAAGTTGGGAGTAGGAAACCAAACTGTGGCCATCTCCACTCAGATCAATGCCCAGGAAAGAGTGGTGCGTGTACCATATGATAAATACCCCAACCGTGGCTATCCCAACATATAACCCAATCACCTGCACCAATGAAGAAAGTTGGTTCACATCTTTGGTAATTCCACTTTACGTAGTCAAGGACAAGAAAAAGATGATCACCAGGTAGCGGAATAAGATCCAAGCAGTGATTAATGAGTCATCGCTTCTTCTTGGAGGCTTCTTCATTATATCTTTGTCAGGCGGATTGAACCCTAGAGCAGTTGCTGGAGGTCCGTCAGTAACAAGATTAACCCAGAGAAGCTGAACAGGGATCATGCCTTCTGGAATACCCAAAGCAGATGTCAAAAATATAGAAGCAACCTCACCAATATTGGAAGAGATCATATACCTGCAATTATAAGTAGAAGAATATGTCACTCTATGCGGGGAATTAAAAATGAATCCAACATTGACCAAAAGGTTTGGAAGAAAAGAAAAAGGAATAAAGATACAACTGATCTGAGTTAGAATCTAGCTTGAATGAGTGCAGCTTTGTCATTAAGAGAACGGATTTGAAGCAATTTGTTCCATTTCAGTAAAATCATAAGCGCAAAACCATGACTATATGCAACAACATTGCCAGTTCATTTTCAAGTTATGGATCTAAAAAACAACAATAATAACCTTATAAAAGCCTTCATATTGTTGTAAATGGATCTGCCTTCGCCAACTGCAGCAACTATAGTGCTGAAGTTATCATCTGCTAACACCATGTCAGAGGCTTCCTTTGCAACCTGGAAAATAAGAAAATAATGCGTTCATGAATAACTTTGACTAGAATACTAGAATAACTTTGACTTGAATACTAGGTTTCAGGATGTAGAATTCTACTATAATAGCCTGATAATAGACAATAAAGTATGCTAAGATTTCAAAAAACCAATAGAAAAATACAGATGAAATCACACCAAAAAATTTAGAATAATTAGTTGACTCTGTGTCCACATAATCTCAGGAAAAAGTGGTATAGATCTTCCACCATATACATTCTGAATAAACTGCAGTACAACTATGCATGTTGCATATGCATTCAAAAGAAGCTAATAAAATCAGTCTCTCTGAATCATTAGGCAAAATGCTACTTCACAAGTGAGCTGAGAATGTGCAGTAGCAAAACAAGTCACACAAGTACAAAATGAAATAGTACATGAAATTATGCAAGTAACCGTATGGACACCATGGATGCTATATGTAATCCACCAAATTAAATGAAAATTAATATAGAACAAAGAGTGGTTGATACCTCTGTCCCAGCAATGCCCATTGCTACTCCAATATCAGCCAACTTCAAGGCAGGAGCATCATTAACTCCATCCCCAGTCATTGCAACCACTTCACCATCCTCTTTCAGCAACCTAACTATTTCTTGCTTGTGCCTTGGCTCAGCCCGAGAAAATAAGAGACCTCCACTCTGTCTCAGATGATTTTTCTGATCGGGATGATCCATAAACTCCTTTCCTGTTAAGCTTCTAGAACCGATATCTTCATGAGATCCAAATACACCAATTTCACGACAAATAGCTTCTGCTGTGTTTTTGTTGTCTCCTGTAATGACCATAACACGAATCCCAGCTGCTTTGCAGTCCTCAATTGCTTGACGAACCTCTTTCCGAGGAGGATCCTTGATAGTTTTGTTCAAGTGGTTCAGATAAAGGGTGGACAGAAGTAAGAAAACAAAAATGCATATACAAACCCACAGCAACTTACCCTTAGCCCAACTAAACCAACAAAAATAAGTTTGTTCTCAATGGAAGAATAATTGGATAGATTAAGCAAAAGCTGATGAGCTGGATGATCTTCATCACCATTATATGTTGCAAACTCAAAAAGCTCTTCCTTATACGCGAAACCAAGACAACGTAATGCATCTGTTGACATTTCACGAAGACTTTGTAAAATAAGATCCCTTGAATATTGATCTAGTTCTACAATAGAACTATCAAGTAACTGGATAAAAGAGCTCCTCTCCAATAAATTCTCTACAGCACCCTGCAACATTAAGCATGCACAATTATAGCGATATATTAGAAAGGGTGTGCGAATAAACTTTAGACCAGCAGCTTGCATCATGTTAAAATCTTAATAGGGTGTTTGCTACCACCAAAAAGAAAAGAAAGCATATTGGAAGAGTACACATAAACAACATAAACAAATCAAATCTTTAATTTTACAAGTAATCAGTAGGGACGGCAATCAAGCCCGTCCCCGACGGGTTTCGGCCCGACCCGACCCTATAGGGTCGGGTTTTTTTTTTTGAATTTCGGGTTTCGGGTCGGGTCGGATCGGGTATGCCTAAAACCCGAACCGACATTTTTAAAAAATTATTTTTTAATTAATTATTTATTTATTTATTTATATATATATATTTATATAATGATATTTTTAAATATTTATATTTAAAAAATAATATTTTATATTTTAAAAAATATTATTTTATTAATTTCGGGTCGGATCGGGTACTATTTACATATTGTCGGGTCGGGTATTGAGGCAAAGAGAGATGAATAAACCTTTACTAGCAATGACTTATGTCCTGAGCTGGAATTAACGATAACTCCCATGGACTTTCGATCACGGTCAAACTCAAGTGTTGCAATCCTTTGCTCTATTTTGTTCCACAGTTGACAACAACCTTGTGTAGCATAAAAAAAATAAAAGAGAATGCTCAGAAGGATCTAGAAATCATAACCTAAGAATGATAAAATTATAGGAAAGAAACCAGTTGACATACGTTGAGGATCCCCATGACCTGAAGAGGAATCATACCCTTCAGGAAATCCCATTTTCTCAACGAGAACCTGGAATGAAAAAGAACCAAACAGGACTCTCTCAGTGAAGGAAAAATATGCAACATGAACTTTTCATATAATCTGAATGTTTACATTCTGCAAATTTAGAAAGCAAATCACAAGTTTCATGGGCAAACAAGCCATGCGTAGAATATGGCAAACAGAAGCATACTTCTGCTGCATTAAATGGAAATAACAGAATTGTTGGTGCTGAGATTTAGGTGTTCCTGTTCTACCATTTAAAATAACAGAATTTAAATTCAAAATATGTTACTAAAAAACAGGTTCAAAGTTAAGTTTTTCCTTTGGCTCCATTCAAACAAATGCAGTATACACAGACTAAAAGGATTCAAATTCAGAAATGGGGGTTTTCACCTTTAGTGCCGCCTCTGTAGGCATTCCAGTGGCAACATAATGATTCCCAGATTGCTCAACACCAGCATCGTTGCAAACAGCAGAAATCTTTGCGATCATTTGAAGATTGGCATCCATTTGACCAACAGGCCAGCCTTGTATTTTCCCATCAAAAGGGTTATATGTAGTCCCTTCCACATCAAAAGATCGCAGAGTGCCTGGCCTTGAACCTATAGCAACAAGCTTTGAAACAGCCATCTGATTGGTAGTCAAAGTTCCTGTCTTGTCAGAACAGATAACAGTTGTGCAGCCAAGAGTCTCAACACTAGGCAACTTCCGGACAAGTGCGTTCTTTTGAGCCATCTTTCGGGTTCCCAGTGCCAAACAGGTTGTAATAACTGCCGGTAAACCTTCTGGAATCGCAGCAACAGCCAATGCCACAGCAATTTCAAAGTAATATGTGCACTTCTCAAACGAGAACTTAAAGTTTCTAGGCCAACCATCAACATATTCCCAAGAAAGAAAGTATTTCACATTAATAAGCCAAACCAATGCACAAATTACTCCAATTATCATTGTTAGAACCTCTCCAAACTGATTCAACTTCTTCTTTAATGGGGTATCTTCCTCATTCTGCGAGGCTTCATGAATCTGTGAATGCACCTTCCCAATCTCTGTATTCATGCCTATATGGGTGACCAAGCAAATACAGTTTCCATTGACCACAGTTGTTCCAGCAAAAACCATACATTTCTTCCCTTGAATATCGGAATTCTCAGGAACAACCTTCACAGTCTTGCTCACAGCTTCACTCTCCCCAGTCAATGACCCCTGTTCAACTCTTACAGTTGAGCTTATCAAACACAAAACCCGCATATCCGCAGCTACCTTATCACCAGCTCTCAACTCCACAATATCACCTGGGACAAGTTCCTTTGCAGGCAAATTTGAGACCTTCTTACCATCTCGAACTACATTTGCATGCTCTGATTGAATTTCCTTCAAAGCCTCCAATGCTTTTTCCGCATTGCTTTCTTGCCAAATTCCAACAATAGCATTCACAATCAAGATCAAGAAAATAACAAGCGGTTCCACAAAAGCTGTTATCTCCATCTCCCCTCCTTCTTCACCATCATACCAAGCTAAAACAAAGGATACAATTGCAGCAACCAATAATATCCTCACCAATGTGTCATTAAATTGCTCCAAAATCAGTTTAAATATTGATGTGCCCTCATGTTTTTCTAACTCATTCCATCCATAAATTTGCCTCCTTTTTTCAACTTCAGCACATGATAATCCTAATTCTTGATTCACTTTGTACTTCTCTTCACATTGTTTCACATCTCTTGCCCAAGCAGGAAAAGTTTCTTGGTTGGAAAAGGCATCGCTGGCATTTTCTCTCTTCCCGTAGTCTTCCCCTCCTCTTCCCATTGAAATCCAATGCCAAAGAAAACAAGTATTCAAGTAACTAAAAAAAAAAAAAACCAAAATAGCTGAAGAAAAAAGCCGAAATTTTATATCCTTTCTTCAATACCGGACCTGAAAGCAATGAAATTTAAGGAAACATCATGATCTACAAAGTAAATTAACCAAAACCTACTAATAATTAAACGCTACCAGTCTGTTTGCGCACTGAGACAACAACAAAAGTAACAAAAAAGAAAAACCTTTTCGTTTCATCGCCCAAAGTTCTTAGTCTCAGCTAAAGCTTTCACTTTTTTACAGTTTTACACATCAGAAATCAAATCCCTGATAAATCTATCAATCACAAAATAATTCCCCCTCGACACCCGCAAAGAAAATTACTTTCAACTAAATTTTCTCAGCAACCACACAGAGTAGAAAAAAATCAATCAAAAGAAAATAAAGAATTAAGGTTTGTGCTTACCAGAATTTTCAAGTTCCTATCTTACCACTCAGCTACCAATTAGTTCTCTCTCTCATTAGTTACTTTGTTAAAAAAATTGTTTCTTGACAGTCAAATAAGTGAAGAGAGAGATCTGATTTATAAAGAGCGATTCAACGGCTACAAAACCTCTCTCTCTCTTTATACGATCCAACAGCCTTTGGTTTACCGTATGTGTTTTGTCCTTTAGAAGAACCTAGATTCCACGTAGTCTTAACCAACCGGTCTTGCCGCGTGTACAAAAGGACAACGGTGGGCCCACATAAAGTGCTTGCTTTTCAAGCTTTTCCCATGTGGCAAGCAATTAAAGGTGACCCTATTGCTTCAACGGTCATGGCCTCCCACACTGAATCTCCACTTTGGTAAAAGTGAAAACTTTCTTTTTCAGCTTGTGTTTAATATTTAATTAATACTTAGGAAATTTCCTGTGCCTTTCCTAATTTACATTCTGTCAAAGAAATATATATAATAAAATTTAGGTGCACGTTGAATTGAGCTGGTCATGTAGAAAGATAAATTATTTGGTACGGTGGAGTTTTTTAATTTTATAAGTTGATTAAGACAATGATATATGTTTTATTTTTTAAAATTAATTTTTTAAATATATAAGAAATATATATTATCATTTTAATTTTGTTTATAGAGTAAAAAAATTTTTATTGTTAATGTATTTGATAATTTTTTCATGTAGTAATTATTTTATAATTTTAAGATTTAAATATTAATATTTATAATATTTTTTCTTATCATCATATAATGATTTATTTTGCGTAAAAAAATAATTTGGGTGCTTATTGTAATATTCTTAGGTTTATACTTATACATAATTTTTATGACTATTTTAGGTTATTTTTGGTGTTTGCTTATGAAATAATAAATATAGTATTATTAAGTAAGAATTTAGTTTCCACCACACTTTCAATAAGATATAGTTAAACTTATTGTATAATCAATTTAAATATTAATTATAGTGAAATTCATTCAATATAAATTTTTTTATAAATTTTTTAATCATAAATAAAATAATAATTTTTTAATTATATTATATTTTATTATTATTTTTAATCTCATCAAAATCTTTTTTACTATTCATCTAAATAAATCATAAATTTCTTTTTTGCAAAAATTAAAGGTTTTTTTTTTTTTTCTGCATTCCAACTTTTCCAATGACTGAAGCTTATCACGAATTTGATCAATAGTCTTTTACTCTTTTTGGTTACATAGACAAGTCAAAGTTTGCTTTCTACGAGTTTGGAGATGGTAAGTCTTGTAATCTCTCACCATTAATATATTGGTATCAAGTCAAATTTAGAAACTGAATAATTAAGCAGAAAATTACTCAACATAGCCACATGCAACTTGGTACTTCCCTTGTTGTTAATAGGTGGTTGCCTTTCCCATGCATATACCTGTCATTTTTTATTTAAAAAACTTTTGAAAAAGGACTCAATTATTCGAACCAGGGAAAGAAATGTCCACTGTTCCAGCATTCATGGCTAAGCCTAAACCACATTTTATGTCAAAGAAAGAAAGGACAAGGCATGACATGGACGTGCGACTAGTATTGATAAATCAGTTTACTCCGTACAATCGACTTGACCGTACTGTGAATGGGGGCACCGTGTTGTTATGATCTACTATCATGTTGCTGGGAAATCCACATCTTCTCGCACAATTATTGACCGCCGGAGATGGTGACTCTTTTTGCTACAATGGTACAGTTGATGGAACTGAGAAATGGCATAGGCGAAGCTGCACTCGAATTCCCAAAGTCAAGGGACAAAGTCTTTTGGGGTATTAATGTGAACCCAGGTATCAAATTCAGATAAGGATCAAGTTCTAATGAATTTTTAAATTGTAAGGTTACCTGCTTCTTCTTGTTTCTTTATTCTGTCTTTCTAAAGAAACAAGCAAGTTGGAGATTGCAAGTCTGAAAGGGCCCCAAAGCACTCAGCAGTCAACACCATTATAGCCTATAGGAAACCGCCTGGAAGGGATTGGGGACAGCTGCAAAACCCACTACCTAAGTCATGACGCCACTTTTTTTTTTTTTTGGTTTAGTTTGCCAGAAAATGCAAGTTACATGAAAATGGTCTGAAGAATCGGATATTGCCTATTTGCCTTTCACTTTCATACCTGGATGAGCCAATTCATCAAATTGTATTGTTATAGAGCAATGCCAATCCCGTTTCCCTGGGGGGAAAATGGGACAAAACTGAAAAAAGTAATTGAGTTGGAAATTGTCATGTTATCTTGGCTGGTAACAGATTAGTTGATAATGACGACAAGGCCAAGCCGCCTGCTTCTACTGTCCCCACCCCATTCGAGGACTCTTGCTTCTACTTTCTAGAGATCTTGTTCATGAGCCTATGTTTTAGATGACCCCACAAAAGCCCACTAGAATTCTAAGTTTTAGTTTTCCCTCTTTGAATCCAGCCCATGTCTGTGATTTCTAGCCCTGGATTGTTTTCTCAACAAGGATATCCTGGTCCGTGCCTAAGGCAAAATAGATTGAAAAAGCTCAAGCATAGCCTAGAACAGACTTGGGCTTGACCACATTGGCTTTTATCCTTTTTGGGTATTTTCTTTTTGTGTTTCTTAAGGTTTTTTGTGCTCGAAGTTACATTCCTAAGTTCCAACATGACAGTATCTCTCATTTTAATCCATGGCTGGCGGCTGCAGCAGCATCATAGCCTGGTGCCTGAAAATAGAAAGATAACCTTCGCCTAAAAGGCACAAAGAATAGCAGCTGCCTGCTATCAAGAGTCAAGGGCCTCAAAGGCATAATATACATATTGTTTCAACCCTTAACGGTCACACTATCTAAATGGAATCCGCCATTAGATCTTGATCTGTATCTTTGACTCCACAACAGCCTATCCCTACTCGTTTGGCATAAGATATTCATCTCCTATTTCCTTTTACAATTAATATTCACCATTGTTATTACAATATTTTATTAATAAATACATGGACCCGAAATGCAAATCGTTTTCTTCATGCATACACTCACCAAATGATGCCAAATCATTACATTTTTCACATAAAAACAACTGTATAAACGCCCTAATAGGAAAGCTTCTCCCTTGTATCTCTGTCAATCTCTCTTCATTATCTTTCGTTTGAAGCAGTCTTTCACTCTTTCTATAAACCCGAAGCCAGGAAGCAGCCCATATTTATCACTTGAAATCTGAACCCTGACCCCCTAAACCAAATGGCTTCAACCTGTATCTCAAACTGCGTCAATGACACTAGGGTCCCAGTCAGACCAACGTACATGAACCTCTACAAATGGCCGGAATCAGATGCTGAGTTTGTCAGGTCACTGAGCTCAGACGGGAGCAGCAGGGGCAGCCGTACACATCCCTCTGTTGTTGATAGCATTTCATGCAGGCAAATGTACCTGAGGAGCTACACGTTTCATAGGAAAGAAACCGAGCCTGAAAAAACAAAATGTTTTGGCAGAGGTAAGAACGAAAAGGCCGGGAAGAGTCCTAGAAGAAAAAACAAATCCAAAACTAATCCCAAGAAGAACTGTGTGGTGCTCAGAACTGTGTGGCGCAGGCTGTTGACCTGCACCACCAAGGTTGATGTTGCTGATCATGGAGATTGAATATTTCTGACCATTTTCAGCCATCAGGGCTTCCTTTTTTTGTTTCTAAATAACTTTCTAATAGCATTAAGTTTTTATCTATTTTATGCCTTTTTTCCCTCTTTGTTATTTTTCTTTGTCAATGGATATGGAGTGATGATATCATGATATCACCAAGGTTGATGTGGCTTTAAAGCTAATATATTTGGTTGAAAAGAAATCATCATAAGTAAAATTTTATCCACTTTCACCTTGTAAAACTCTTAGCTATTGAAAGTTTCAAGCCTGTCTATCTCTGATCACATTTGCCAATTGTTAAGCACAGCCGGCAGAAACGTACAGCTAGTTCAATTTCTTGTCTGTCTCGCCGCTTCTGTGCTTAGCTACTCTGTTTTTTGGCCATTTTTAATTAAATAATGGTTTTCACTAAGTTAGAAGCCTTGATAAATTTTCGTCACATCATGGCTGTAGGCTCATTTGCCAGAATATCCTAACCTCTGCTGACTTCCCGTACAAGTTTATAGGGAATGGTTCTAATTACAGTTACAGGAAGATATTTCAGAATCACTAATTGTGGACTATGGTCAGGTCAACAGCCTTCTTGGATGAATCTGATCACTTCATAATCAAGATTTAAGGGCTGCCAGAACATTCTTTATAGAAATAAGGATTTGATCCGAATCAAGAGAATGAAAAAAAGCGGGTTCTTAGTTAAAATATATGGGTTCAACTGTTCAAGACATTCATGTGTGTAACGACAAAATAAGAATATATAAGATAAGCCTTGTTGGCCATGAACTTTGACAGGGAATTAAATTATTAAAAACCAATCTAGCGTCATAGAAAATATAGAAATGATGGTGGCGTGGTGCATGGCAATGATGGTGAAGGTGGGTGAAAGTTGAGGCGAAGGGTTTGCGGGAATTCTCTCATGGCTTTAGCTTTTAAATCCCCAACTTTCTATGTTTCTTTGACTCTTTCATTTCTGGAAAAGCATGGGAAAAAAGGGTCACCACCAGTTTGGGAGTATCATGAGTAGAAGAAGTAATCCAAAAGAAAAGATACAAAAAAAAAAAAAAAGATTTGAGGATCAATCATATTGTAAACAATCATGGAAACTATTTTTAGTGTAAAAGGGACCAAAAGAGAGTATGTAACTTACAAATCAAGTCTTCTTGGGTTAATCGACAAAGGAATTTTATATTTTCTTAATCCCTCTGTAATTTGTGCTCAATTGGAAAATGATACCGCAAGCAATTAATGAATAAGGATACTAAATCATCACTTGGTTTGTCATTATAATTAGTTAACCATTTTGGGGATTTCTTGCTAACTTTTGAAGTTGCTTGAGTTATATGCAAACTGAAACGTCATCGTGAAGAGTTGGTAGAAAATTAGCATATAATATATTCTGATTAACTGCATAAATAACAGATTAGTTATCAAGAATTATCCATGGATTGCCAATGGCTCAGCCTTTTTTTTTTCTTTTCTTTTTCTTTCTTTTTGTTGCATGGGTTAGAAGGATGTAAGAAGATAATTTTTCATGAATTCGTTAGGATCAGTGTAAATAAACTTGCTTAAACCAACGGCAAAAATGAACTGAACAAAATCCAAGAACTTCTTGCCGTTTTCAAGAAAAAAAAAAAAAAAACCATTGTGGGACATGCAACAGAAAAAATATAGTAAATATTTATGATGACATTGACATAATTGCAATTTCTTATGTTGATGATGGGATAGTAGGTAAGTGTTTGAGTATAATGTTTGCTGAGAAAAGAAAAATGGTTGATTGCTGGTTAGCTCTAGGCTTATTTGCATTCTTCCTTTTCATTATAAAGCTGTTAAAAAAGTACAACTTGTTTTCAGCAAAGCCAAAAAAAAAAAAAAGGAGTTTTCATTGCTTGCTTCTTAATTCTGTATTGTAATATTTGAGATTCCATTTTTCTGTCATAATTTAATTAGTTGAGAATCATGCATGATATAAATTTAATTGGTTTGAATATCTGGAGAGTGGGATACCTATATGCCAATTGTAGATTTGGTGCAAGGTTGTGCTTCAACCATTGAATTTCATCATTTACAGTAATGTTTGGTAGACTGGGAACATCACACAACTGCAAATGCTATGCAAAATACAATGGCAGAACTGCTTTGCAGTAGGGAAATTAAAAGCAGACTCATAAGCCACTGGAGATGCAATTAATCAAGTTAGATGGGATTCAAGGGCAACAGAGATTCATAAAAAAAATGAAGCATGGACTCCATGATTCACTCATGGATTTGCATCAACTTTGTTCTTCAGTAAAACAAAAGCCATTGGCTCAATCCTCTTCCTTCTCATATAAGTTGTGCCTTATGTATTAAAGGTACAGTTATTTGCTTGAAGTCTGAAGTTTCCCGTGTTTGAAGTCCCTTTTTAGAAACTCCCATGTGGGTTTTCCCAACGTTAAACAAAACACAGGAGGCTTTAAGCAAAAATCATGCATTAGCTATTTTGTAGGTCATTGGGTGCTTAAGCAACAACCTGGTGGAACAATTTTCTCTCATTTGTTCATGTTGATGCAGCAAGATAAAGTGAAACATTACACCAAGATTGGATAATATAAAGAAAAGAATCAATTTGAAAATAATCACATGATCACTTGCAAAAGTCGAAATGCACTGTATAGCAAATAAAGTCATAGCCATTGCAAATCAGAAACAACGCTACAAGAGAAATTTTAAACTGCAACAGCTCTGTCAGTTTCCTAAAGCTTGCTTGAAACCTCCACGCCTGCTGTACATGAAAGAGCTTACAAGACTTTATGCAGTTCCATTTTAGAACACAAATGGTTTTGAAGAGTTGCCTCTGTAATGTACATGAAAGAACTCACAGACAGCTTCTCTCTGGTTTGTCTGATGACTAACCAAAGAAAACACATCATCGTCTAGGATAACGAACTGACATACCACAATCATCCCACCTTTTTAAACAAAATAAAGGAAACTAGCTTATCTACTAGGATGTGGCAAGATGTGGCGGATGAGAGAAAACCATGTAAGCAGTGTCAAAAGAGAAGCTTAACCCATAGGATTTTCCATCACATCAAGTCACCCGCCATCAGACTTCACCAGCTGTGACTTGTGAGAACACTCTACTCGTTGAAAAGCCTGAGAGGTCGTCCACACTACACACCCGAAACTGTGCAGAAGAAATAGTTGGATCAAGCTGACTGATATTGTTGATTTGTGGAGAAAGCTCTACAATCATATTTGTACTGTTTTCTTCAGGATCGCCTTGAACAATAGCCTCCTGATTCCGTATGACATCTCCTACGGAGGGGCCTGTCCACACCAAAATTCAGCTAAGCACTTCTCAGTAGTTTCTCCAAACTCCTAAGAGAATCGGACCTGATGTTTCCTATGAGATTAGGATCAATTATTTGCCCCATCTGTCCTCTCTTCTGCCATTTCATTGCCCATTCAGATAGATTTTCAATTTCCCTTGGAAGAGTCGGGTCTATTACTGGTCTTGCACAAAGAACTTCAAACAAATCCATTCCAACTGAAAATACACCAGATTTCTATGTCAGTTGATATTCGGGGTCCAGATATCCAAAAATCCCTTTCACTGCCATGCTGACATGGGTCTGATCAATTTCAGGACCTGTCTTGGACACCCCAAAACCAGCAACTTTGGCCATGAGATTCTCATCAATTAAGATATTTGCAGGCTTCACATCACGATGAATGACTGCTTTTGCATAGCCTGTGTGAACTTAATGGAGTCCTCTAGCTGCTCCAATGCATATTCAAGCCTGTGTTAAGGTAACTCCAAACGCATTTTCACTTGATTTGGACTAATTAAATTAATTATATATAAAAAAAAAGGAAAAAATCCCCCGAGATTATAATGTTTGGGGCTTGGGTTGAGAGAAGAGAAAAGAATGGACCCATCATCAAGATTTCATAGTAGTAGCTCAAATAATCAATTTGGATGTAGGTGCACACCATGTTAAGAACCTAAAGATTGTATGGTGAAAGAGGCCCAAATTATTAGAAGAAAATGGGCAATTTGCCTAATGCAATTGGGCATCATGGGCCTATATGGCTCCAAATAGGCTCAATATCTACTCCCAAAAGGAATAAGACCATTTGGATGATCTGTTTCTCAGATTGCAGTCGAGCTTTAATGTTCAAAATTTCCTGCTAGTAAACATTCAACTTATTTGTGTGGTGTTAGAGATCAACAACTAAAAGAGACTTTGATTTTGCATATGATTAATTCCACACGTCAAAAGTACACATTTTGTTTATATTCAACATAATTTTTTAACGCGTATGAATTTTATCAGTTGACATATAAAATAGTTTGAATATGGATATGATTGACAATTCAATCTAAATTTATCAAATTTTGATCTATTCAATTTTATAAAGTTAATTTTTTTAATCAAATCTTAAGTCGAATAAGATAGGATTTTGTCAAAAAAAAAAGGGATCTAAGTTTAAGCAAATTCGTTTTAACCCAATTTGATATATATATATATATATTATTTATTTAATTTTATAATTATATATTTTTTATATTTATTTAATTGTATATTTATATTTAAAAATAATAATTTATATTTAAAATTTTTAATATTAAAAATATAACTTTTTATTAATTTCGAATTGAATCGAGTTGATTGTGATTTTATGTATTGTAAGATGAGTTAAGTACAAAAATAATCTTTTAAAATTAGATTGGGTTTAGGTTTTGATTATATAAAAAATGTTAGATTTAAACAAATAAAAACTTATTTCAACCCAATCCGTTGTCATTTTGTTCGGAGGATGATATGCAAATTTAAATATATTTTTTTGACACAATTAGGCTGATCAAAGTAGTGCATAAACTTAGTCCATAAGTGACAAATTTCGACTCACAATACTGTAGACTGACAGTTCAATGATGTATACACTATGAAGGAAAATCGACCAAATCCAAAACCATGGGCTGGCACCAAATAATGCCAAGTTTACGAGTCTAATTACAATCTCATGAGTTTTATTTTCCTTTGTTTTTTGGCTGGAATAATAACCTCATGCTCGATCGTTGTCAAGCTATACTAAATAGTTCACTACTCTATTTAATGAGCACTAAACCCTTAATCATGCATGTCCACCGTCTCCATCCTTCCCTCAAAATAGCCATGGCTGCCTATCTCTTACTTCTGATCATAGCAGCTTCTGCATTTTCCACACTTACCGCTGATGGTGAGCTCATTTCTTGTACTAAAGTTCCATTTGTTCTTTGTGTTGAATTATTTTACAATTTAATGTTAAAACATTTTGCTATGTGAATTTCAGTAAGCATCGACTGTGGAGCTTCTGAAATTTATACTGATGACTATTCCATCGATTGGGTTGGAGATGATAACTACATTCAACATGGTGAGTCCGTAGTGGTGCAATCTCGCAAATCAGTAGCTCAAGCAATGACCACTCTAAGGGTATTCACTGAGAGGAAGAAAAACTGTTACTCCATTGATGCTGACAAGGGATCTCAAGTTCTTGTCCGAGCCAGTTTTTTTAATGGAAATTATGACAGGAAATCATCTCCTTCAAGTTTTGATCTACAATTTGATGGGAATCAATGGACCACGGTGGGGACTTCAAGTAACGAAGTTGTTTCCTATGAGGTTATTTATGTCACAAAGAGCGATACCATAAGTTTATGTGTTGCGCAGACATCTCCTAATATGTTTCCCTTGATATCAGCTATTGAAGTTCGGGTCCCGGACATGAAAATGTATGGACATTTTGATTCAAAATATGCTTTGATGTTAAGGAGGAGTGTTGCTTATGGCACCGAAGATATAATTAGGTATGTTTTGCCTTTCAGTGATGTAATTGTTCCTTTAGATAAAGTTACTGATTGGCTCTAGCCTTTGTAGCACATGACACAAAAAATTTTATCAGCTAGAGTTTCCTTTTTCTTAGGTCTGCCGATAATGTTTACGACAGAATATGGTTCCAGCTATCAATGGAAGCGATTTCACAGTGCTTACAAGTGATGAATCGTCGATCGAAGTTAGATTAAATGATAGCCCTCCACGAGCTGTGTTTCAGAATGCATTTGCCACTAACAGCACCTCCATATCCATAATATTAGGGACTAATCTTCCCAGTGCTGAAGTTCCTATTTACATGAACATGTATTTTTCTGAAGTTTTAGCACTTGATTCAACCTAGAACAGATCCTTTGAGCTCTACATAGATGGCGAACCTAGCTCAAACCCCTTCATCCCTGATTATGGAAAAGCAGGAGAAATGTTCCTTACTAACTCCACTGCCTCTTCCAACACTACCTTCTCTTTGGTTGCCTCACCTGATTCAACACTGCCTCCACTTATCAATGCCCTGGAAGTTTTTACAGTCAGTGATGAGCTAACAGATGGAACCAATGGTGATGATGGTCGGTATCTTAAGGCACAAATTGCTTGATATTTCATATTCAGACATGAAATTTTGGGATTTCTGTTCATTTATTTATTTATTTTTCTTCTTCTTTTATGTTATTTTAGTAGAAGGATTGGCCTCACTGCAGAATGAATTTGATGCACCGGGAGACTGGGGTGGTGACCCTTGTCTTCCTTCACCGTATACACGGGATTGGATCAATTGCACCTGTGCTTACATACCCCGAGTAACAGCATTGTAAGTTATTAATTTTCTAGCTGCATACTTAAGAATAGCACTCTTAAGTTTCATGAAAGTCTGATCATTAAGAACCCCAAGCTTAGCTCAGATGATTCATGTAACTATCCTTACGAGATGGCATCCAGCAAGTATGGATTTCGAATCTCAACTCCTGCTACTCCTTCCACCGTTCCGAGGCTGCAGCCTCCTTTGTACCAAAATAAATAAATAAATAAATCTGATCATTTAGGTATTAAAATTCTTCAGGTATCTCGGTACCTTTCGTCTATCTGGTTTACTTCCTGATTTTAGCTCCATGACAACCCTCGAAATAATGTGAGATGTATAGCTCCAACTTTATTAGTTAAATCTGTTTGATCTCAATTTCTTTAATTTGGTGTTTGAAATTTTAATTTCTTTTGATTGCAGAGACTTGCATAATAACAGCCTAATTGGTTCTATCCCTGAATTTCTTGGCATCTTGCCAAATTTAAATCAATTGTGAGTTTACTAGGCACTGTTTTGTCAGAATTTCCTTTTTCCAGTTTCCTGATAGTCAACTGAAATCTTTCTTCCTTCTTCAGGAACTTGGCCGATAGTGAGTTTAGTGGACCAATTCCTTCCTCAATATCAAAGAATACCAAATTAAAATTAGTGTAAGTGAATCATTTTCCTTTGATCCAGTCATACTACAAGCTGCTTCATTTCTCCAATAATTCACAAATTTTCATCTCAGTGTGACAGGCAATCCAGATTTGTGTGTCTCTGGCAAGTCATGTAAAACAGCCAGTGCAAATCCATGGGATGGCTCCTCAGCTTTCTCCTCAAGCAGCGGCAAGAAAAAGAGCAAGTTGCCAGTAATACTTGGATCCACAATTCCAATTTTGGTACTTCTCTGGGTAATTGGAGGAGTTTTTGCCGTGTTTCATCATAAGAGAAAATCAACGGCCATTGCAGCCACTAATGCAGGTTAGTATAATAAGCAACGTAATCATCATAAGAAAAATGTCCTGTTTGTCAGCCATACTCTCTCATGAGCTGACTTTAACATTTGGCTTTATGGGAATATGGAGCCATTTGGTTTTCAATATCCATACAAGGAACGTAGTCACCCTGTGTTTTTTCTTTCATGGTTTTCAGGGCAAGCTGGAGGAGCCAAAAGGCCTAATGGCAGGCCACCACTGGCGGCGAAAATGCAGATGGCGAATAACAGAATAGCCCAAAATCTAGTCAATGACTTTAGAATGAACATCCAGGAGCCATCAGCTGAAGATCAGCGAGATGACCAAAACGATCAACAAAATCGTCCTGAAGGAGGGCATTGATCATCCTGTTAATTATTAGATCGTCACCATGATCTTAAAAAGTTTATAAGCTGTATCTTAGAGTGATTTCTTTCTCTCCTTTTTTTTTTTTTTCTCCTCATAGTTTTTTGTGTGAATGAATCGCCAAAAATTATCTTTATTCAGAAGTGCTTTACTGAACATCGATTGAACACGAAGATTTGAGGGTAATTCGTCGAAATTTATGCATAAAATGCATTTGCTAGGCCTACAAACCTTGTTCGCTTCTCGTTAAGCTTGGGCTTTGATTTTTAATCTTAATCTCAGCCTGGCCCAAGTCATTATTCTGTGCATCATTTTTTATTTTTTTTTAAATTTAGTTTAAAATATTTAAAATGATAAAATATATTTGCATAAAAGATTTATTATTTTACAGATAATTAAATTGGATTAAAATTAAAATATTTCAGTCTTGATATCAGTTATTATTTCTTTGACATATATTTGAAAAATATGTAAGAGCTGAAATTTAAGTTGTGTATTTCATATTTTAACTCCTTCCACTTGTGGTGATAAAAAAAAAAAGTAAAATCATTTCATTTATCATTTTTTTAATATCATTTAAAGTAAAATTTTTTTATTTTTATACAAATTTAAGTAGATCCTTCTTATATATATTTTAATTATTATAAAAACACACAAATTGATGTACCAATATGAATTTTAATAGTATAATAATAAAATATTATAATTTTTAATTATAATCAATAAAAGCTTGACTTACCGTTTTTTCTTCTCTTTATATAATTTGTTTGTAAATAATTTTCTCACTAATTATTCCAAAATAATTAAAATTTTCTAAAACAAACCTAATTTCTTGAGTTTGTTGATAATTTCAAATTGAGTAAATATGTAATTTAATTTTTAAATTATATAATTGTTAATGGCTTAGTATTTATAAAAAATATTTATGACTAAACACTCAAAATTTATTTTCGTCAAATATTTTACATCATTAAATAATATTGTTAGTTAAAATACTCACGTGTTAAATATTAATTAATAAAAAATACCATAATCATGATATTATTAATTGTTTTTTAACAACAACAATTTATTGTTAATAAAATTAGTATATAAAATAAAATATTAGCAACAAAAAAATTTAAATACTTAATTATAAATTTTTTATAATTTTAAAAATAATATAATATAATCTATAACTATTAATGAAAGTAGTTTCTAAATTGAGATTATTCATAAGATTTTCATTTTTTGTGCCAAGTGTTGCATGACGATTGGCTGCTCATTTCTTTTGTTTAGAATGGAAGCAAAATGTGCCGTTTTACAAGTTAGTGAAAAAAAAAAGAAGAACAAAAACAAGAGAAAAAGAATCTAGAAACAAAAGAGAGAGTAGTTGCGAAAAAAAAAAATAAAAGGGGAGAAATTATAAAAGTTGATCCAAAAATTTGTTTAAGAAGAATAGACGGGAGAAGAAACAGAAGAAAAATGAAAGAAGGAAGAAATTTGAATCAACTGAAACCAGATAAGATAATTATGTTATTATGTTACGTTAGAAGGTTTTTATTAGATTAGATAATTCACGTATTTATATAATATAAAATATTAAAATTTATATATTTTTATCATATTTTATATAAAATTATTATTATAATTTATATTGATATAAAAATATAATATTTTTATTTTAAATTTATATATAATTATTATATTATAATTTTAAATTATATTATTTTTATGTTTTATTTTCATATGATATTTATGTTATATTTTAAATTATCGAATGTAATTTACATTATATTAAATTTATATATTTTTTTAATTTGAGATCTTTAAAGTTCAATAATTATTTTAAGTTTTGATTAATCTAAAGTTGAATTAGATTAAATTTTATAATGGAAGCAAATTTTTTTATTTATCAAATTTAAAATTAAAATTTTACTTAAAAAAATTAAATTTTTTGCTAATCAACAAATATCGGTAATTTGTATATTGTTTATAGGTAAGAACAGTAATATGCCATTTGGAACGAATTCATATCAAGTTGCTTCCAAATTAGGCTTCAGCTAAGTAGCGCATTGGGCACATAGTGCATCCTAATGCCGACACTAGCAGGGGCCAGGGCAGCGTAGGCCCACGTCGAAGCTGACTTGTGTAATATAATTTAAAAGCTAAATCACACGTTAATCCTTTCAAATTTGTAAGGGTAACCCATGCCTCCCAAAAAAAAATTTCCCGACATGCGAAATCTCCTAAACCATGGTCCATGTAAACGCTTCAAGATCGATAAAAATCCTTAGATCACAAGGTGAAGAAGCCGACAAATATAATGAGCGAAACAACGTCATCACACCCAAACATTACCCGTCTTCCATTGTCCTTACCACAAAAAAAGCAACAATGTGTTTCCCTTTCTTTCGCTCGTTCGATTTAGGGCAAAACGAAAAAGCAAAAATAAAACCAGAAAAGCTGGACCCAAACAAAAACGCAAAAACTCGTTCTTTGACTCAGCTCTCAACAAAATCCCTTAAAATTTAAAAAAAAATAGAGAAAAACGAAAGATCTCTCTCGCTCGCTGATCTACCTTCAGGTAACTATCACTCTATCTTCTTAGTCGATCTCGACTCGTCTGAGTTCGATCTCCAATCGCACTGAGTTAATCTCTTTTTATTTTTTATTTTATGATCGTTTACTTTTCGTGTCCGTTGTCTTAGTGAAGATTTCGATTAGTTTTTGTGAATTTCGATTTTTAATTTTTTTCCTGAGAATTTTTTAGAAGGATTTAGCGGATAGTTGAGACTGTTTAGAAACTGCTGTTTGGCTGCTTAGAAGTTAGAACTAACCGTGTAAAAATGTGGAGACCGTCCTTTCGACGAGCTTAACTGAACTGACCTGAATAGCAGTGTAGGCTTTTTTATTATTTTTTTTAATTGAGGATTTAGTTCTTTGAAATGAGGATATTGTTGTTATTTGGAAGCATTGATTTATAGCTCAATAAAAAAATCCTGGATTTCGAGCATTCTTATTTTGTTTTTCTATTTCTTTTTAATCAAAAACGGAGGATTGGTTTGTTAAGATGACCAGCAATCAGTTACACTGATTGTTTATATTTCTTGTTATGTTATTTTCTTTCAATTTAAAATAGTTCGTATGGTATCAGTCTCGCTGGTGTGAATTCAGGTTTCAGTTTCTTAATGTTATTTGGATGATATGTTTAGGGATTTCTGTCCTTTCTCACCATGCAAAATTACCTTAATTTCAATACAGATAAGAGGTTTTGAGGCTGAAAGATATGCGATTGAATAAAAAAAAACTACATAACTTGTAAGACATGTTACATTGAATTTTCTTTTAGATTTTTTACACTTTGTTTATCATTTGATTTGAGAAAAAATGATGAAAATCTTTTGAATGATTGTGTACTGTCATTATTTGGAAGTGGAAAGTTGCAAAAGTGGGTTGTGTAAAGCCAAATGTGATGTTGAGAATCTTAGCTGGGCATCTGTTACTCATGTCAATTACATAGCCTAAGTAGCAGGAAAAAGTTTAGGTTATTGTTGTTCTAGATATGTTAAGCATTTTGGGTGTGTATTGCTGCTAAGATTGGGTTTGGTCCAGCGTCAACTGAATGTGCACTCGTCACCTACTTTTCGTCGTTTTGGGGTTAGTTTCTTACAATTGTGCTGTCCTTTTCAGGCTACAATCACTGTTGCAGCTCCTCAAATCAGGATTTTGTTACTTACACTATAGGCTGCTTCTCAACAACGAATGTTTTTTTGCATGACCTATTGACACTTGTGCAATGTCAGGGTTACTTAATGTATTGTTACTTGAACTGAAGAATTTATTTAGAGTTGAAATCTTTTAGAACATTAATCTGTTTTTGGACTTTATTTTTCCTTTGCCTAAATGAAGTATGTGGCTTCTGCAGGTGAACTTTGTTCTTTGAGCAGAAGATAACTAGATATGTATTATTGTGGGTTTTAGATGCAGCATATTGGATCTATTGCTTCTATATGTTTCTGTATATGTTTATGTGCTTGTTGATGACAATATGTTTTGGCATGCTTATTTTAAGTAACTTAGAGTATGAATATGTTGATTATAAGTCATTGGTGCTCCATCAAAAGTCGGTTTGAAATGTTACTATTTCTTTCTAGATCAGAAATGATGGAATGTTTAGAAATCCTCTTCCTTTTATGGTCTATTATCTGTTTAATTGAAACTTAAAATCAAATTTGAATGTATTTCATTTCAGTTCTCCATATTCTTTTCCTGGTTGATTATTGTTTGTAGTTTTGTATTACATGTCTATCTATTAACTGGAAACAATATTGTGCATCTTGTTGCAGTCGTCTATCAATGGTTCAGCATCTAATCTTCCAGACAGTAGTGGGCGTTCTTTTGCTACATCTTTCTCTGGTCAGTCTGGCGCGGCCTCCCCTGTTTTCCATCACACTGGTGGGTAGATTTTACTGATTTCCACTCATCTATGTTCTTCTGAACGCATGCAAGTGTATTTTTTGTTTTTGCAGGCACTATTCAGGGCCTGCATAATATTCATGGTAGCTTTAATGTTCCCAACATGCCTGGTACGCTCACATCAAGAAACACAACATTAAGTAATGTTCCAAGTGCTGGGGTTCAACAACCTTCTGGGAGCCTTTCTGGTGGAAGGTTTGCATCAAATAATCTCCCTGTTGCTCTTTCTCAGGTACTTGTAATAATCCTACCTTTCTATGATCTTACTTTTTGGATTGCAGAAATATAAATTCTACACGTTTTCTCCCCCCTTTCATGCATGTCATTGGGACAAACGCACATAAAAATCAAAGATAATAGGAAGAAATAAAATCCGACATTCTCGTAATATGTAATTCAATTTCTTATGGATACCATTTTGCAGTTATCCCATGGAAGCTCACATGGACATTCAGGGGTAACCAATAGAGGAGGTATTAGTGTTGTAGGAAACCCTGGATTTAGTAGTAACACAAATGGAGTTGGTGGTTCTATACCTGGGATTCTCCCAACCTCTGCTGCAATTGGTAATCGCAATGCTGTTCCAGGATTGGGAGTATCCCAAATTTTGGGAAATGCAGGTCCTAGGATGACGAGTTCTATGGGAAACATGGTTGGTGGGGGCAACATTGGGAGGAGCATAAGCTCCGGTGGAGGATTATCTGTTCCTGGTCTTGCCTCTCGTTTGAATTTAAGTGCCAATAGTGGATCTGGAGGTTTAAGCTTGCAGGGACAGAATCGGCTGATGAATGGTGTGCTTCCTCAAGGTATGTTACTATGAACAATTACCCCTATATTTTGTCTTTTACTTGAACAAAAGATCACTGTTTACTTGTCAGCAAGCTGACTATAATTGCCGTTGGGCACAAATCAATACAATGGCTAGAAATTTTGGTTAATTTACCGTCCCTCACTCTCATTTTCTTTTTATGTGTTCTGGCTTCTTTTCTCACATTGCTCTTCATAGCTTTTCAGCACTCACTGGTTACTTCTAATTCTTGGAAGTTAACGTAATTAATATTCTTAGCTGATACTGAATATATCTTTCAATTTAATAGTTTGTATTATTACTTTTATATGATGGAATATGTGTCTTGTGGATTTTCTAGTTTAGCTGCAGTTGTTCATGTGAATGACACTTTCTGGATTCAGGATCTCCTCGGGTAATTTCAATGTTAGGCAATTCTTATCCTACTTCTGGGGGTCCACTTTCCCAGAGCCATGTTCAAGCTGTGAACAATCTTAGCTCTATGGGAATGTTGAATGATGTGAACTCAAATGACATTTCCCCTTTTGACATAAATAATGATTTCCCTCAGTTGACAAGTCGCCCTAATTCTGCTGGAGGGCCTCAAGGACAACTGGGTAACCGAACAAAGAGGCTTTCTGATTCTTTAGTTTGTCTTTTTTTCCTGCTGCTGAAGTTCTAACATTTTAAGTTGAAAAATTTTCAGGTTCATTACGAAAACAAGGTCTTAGTCCAATTGTTCAACAAAACCAAGAGTTCAGCATTCAAAATGAAGATTTCCCTGCTTTACCAGGATTTAAAGGTGCTCAGATATTCTTTGACCTGGTTTTGATTTAATGCATTTTACTTTCTGGTTGACAGATATAAATGCTGTATTTCTTTCTCACTTTTTATGTACTCGGGAATCCAGCTTTAAGTTATATCAGTACTTGATTTTGTGGTCATTCTAGTAAATTACCTCTCTAATTGGCAGTGTTATTAATGCATTTAATAGCTTACTTTGCATTGTTATGATGCTGATATTGTTTTTAAAACCATTAAGTTGTTGACCACTATTAGATATCGTACAGGCGGTAATTCTGATTATGCAATGGATTTGCACCAGAAAGAACAACTTCATGACAATACTGTGTCAATGATGCAATCTCAGCACTTCTCTGTGAGTCTCTACATTTACAAATTGTAAAATTATGGGTTATTTTCTTTTTCATATATATTTTTAAATAATTGCCTGCTGTACATTTTATGAGTTATGTATTTCCTTTTCTTCATTTTCTAAAAAATAAGTATATTTTATCATCTTCATGATGTATGTATTGTGAGATTTTCTCTAATAATTGTGTGCAATTTGCACAGATGGGGAGATCTGCAGGATTTAACTTGGGTGGATCCTATTCATCTCATCGCCCACAGCAGCAACAGCAACATGCTCCGTTAGCCAGTAGTAGCGGTGTCTCCTTTTCACCTGGAAACAACCAAGATCTTCACCATTTACATGGCCCAGATATTTTCCCATCATCACATTCGAGCTACCACTCGCAGGTGTGGTAGTCTGGTGCTGTAAATGGTTTCTTGTGAATGTAACTAATGGGATTATTAGGGGTGGAAGGAAATGGATTTTTTTGCATCTTTCTTTAATGGCACATGGGAGCACGGATTCATAACTGATTTGAAACATCATATTTGAAGAGTGTTTCAGTAGCTGGATTGGATTGAGATTCATTGTTGGTCTGACTGAAATAATGTGAAATTGGCCCCTTCCTTTTCTCTTATAACAGCATGTGAAAAGAAGGATCCATTGAAAGTTGAAGAAATTGGTTTGACTTCCTTGTGATCGACATTGAACACATATGCATTTGATTTGTGCATCAAAGTTTTTTCTTTTTTGGTAGATGATAAGTAGAATTACTCCTAACATCCTCTTTCATCTTTGGTTTAGACCAGCGGACCACCTGGGATTGGGCTAAGAACTCTAAATTCCTCAAATACAGTTTCTGGTATGGGTTATGACCAGCTTATCCAGCAATATCAGCAACACCAAAACCAGTCCCAGTTTCGTCTTCAACAGATATCAGCTGTCAATCAGTCATTTAGGGAACCAGGCATGAAACCAATGCAGGCTGCACAGTCTAATCCAGACCCATTTGGTTTACTTGGTTTGCAAAGTGTGCTAAAGATGAGTGATCCTGATCTGACTTCCCTTGCTCTCGGAATTGATCTGACAACACTTGGGTTAAATTTAAATTCATCGGAAAATCTTTACAAGACTTTTGGTTCTCCGTGGTCTGATGAACCAGCTAAGGGTGACCCAGAGTTCACTGTGCCACAATGTTATTATGCGAAGCAACCACCCGCTTTACATGTGAGCTGTTTTTCACTTTCCTTTGGTAACCTGCTTAATGCAACTGTCTGAATTAATGAGTTTTCTTCTATATATCTGATTTCTTTTTGGTGCATGCAGCAAGGTTATTTTTCAAAGTTCACAGTGGACACATTGTTCTATATATTTTACAGGTGTGCTTTTCTTTAATGTTTGTTGCTTTTCTTTTGTATATTTTAAGATGTTATTCTTAGCCATCTGTATATCTCTGTAATGCAGCATGCCAAAAGACGAAGCTCAATTATATGCTGCATATGAACTGTATGGTCTCTACCGAATGAATTGTGTTGAAAGCTTTATACACCTTTTTTCCCAACCTTCATTTTGCACCTCTTATTGGCAGTTATAATAGAGGCTGGTTTTACCACAAGGAGCACCGATTGTGGTTCGTAAGAGTCCCCAATTTGGAGCCACTAGTTAAGACAAGCACATATGAGAGAGGTTCTTATCACTGTTTTGATCCAAATTCATTTGAAACAATCCGCAAGGTTGGAACTATTTTATGCCTACTGCATTATTTATGTTGCTTTTTACTGTTATTCATGACTCTTGTTGCCAAATGCTGACTGTATATTTTGACTGCAGGACAATTTTGTTGTCCATTATGAGTTGTTGGAAAAGAGACCAGCTTTACCTCAACCCTAACAGGTTATTTTACTGTTTACAATGTAAAGCTTAAGTATGTAACTCATTTGTCATTCGTTAGAACATCAGTTTGCAGCATTAGTGGTTCTTTTTTTTGGGATGTAGCAATTTTCAAAATATCTGTTCATCTCTTTGCAATGAGTAGCCATTATAGCCTCGTTTCCTTTACATAGCAATTTTAAGATGATGAGTGAAAAATCAAATGCACGACAACAGTACCATCTATGGCATTCCAGCCAGGCGTTCAAAGCCTGGGATTTGATAAGTCCTGTTGCCTAGTTAATGAAGGGTAGCATTGTGGGGAGTGCCCCATCCCAACGCCCACTTTTACCTGTTTTGGTTTTGAATATCATTAATATTATTGGTTTTAATGACTATTGTACTTAATTCTGAACATCTCAGAAGCACCAAGCTTTATCTGGTCTGATTCAATGGTGGCGGGGAATATGGTGTGTATACGTGTTCTACTTTTTGGTTTTTAATGTTCGGATTGCTGATTTCACTTCGCAAGAAGCCACGATTTTGAGTTCCTGCCAGGGCCAAGGTCTCATGCTTCTTGCATATATTTGAAAAACAGATTTCGAAGGCTTCTTGTTGTGGAATGATTCCATCTTCGGTTCGCCCCTAACTACAATGCCAAGTTGTTCTCTATGCCGGACAAGTTGTGAGCTCTCATTTGAAAGATATTGATTGCATTCAGAACTCGAAATGAAGTGATATATACAAATATTGAAACTTAAAACCTTGTTGGTTTACTACCACGATTGAATGGGGATATGGAATTACTCATGATTTGGTGGAGCCGTCAAATTAGGAGCATGTGATACATAAACATGTAGGCAATGTAAGTTCTGACCGTGTTGTCGAAGCGGTGTCATTTAAGCTCTTCCTCGTCAATCATTTGCATGATAGTTGGATGATGATAAATTCCATCTGCATCAGCACCCATTGATGTTTCTTCTATGGTCGACATTGCATCAGGCTATTCATCGGCCAGGGGGTTTGATGTATGTATGTGTGAAACACCAGGATCAGTTGCAAAACAATCTCCATTTGACATCGATGAAGTATGTTCAATGGCCAGTGATGGCCTAATCATTTTACCTGGATCAGGGATAGTTGATGCTTCTGTGCTCTCGTGGAGGAAACAATCCCACCCTGAGTCTCTCCAGTGGCAGTTCCTCTTTGATCTCTGCCTAGCACCACTGCTGTCACTTGTCCTTGAGTGGATATAACTTTTCTGCTTTCGAACTCAGTAAACAAGGGCAGGGAATAACATGAGCCAATGATCAACAAAGAAAAACAAAAACAAAGAGTTGGGAAAGATGAAAGTAGGGGTGGAAATTCAGTTAAGGTAAATTCGAAATGCATAATAAAAAGCTAAATATCTTCTAGCAGGAAAACAGCTGTCTCACCCAATGAACAGCAAAATTCATTCAGAAATTTCTGGCAAAATATCAAATAAACTTTGCTTAAAATGAAAATTATAGCAAAAGAATTGTATAACTTTACTCACATCACCAGTTGCAGAAGATATAAGTACTAAAAGGTAAATTATTCATTTAAAAAAATCAATAGATAAGCTGCAAAAATACTTTGTTTTCCCTATCATCGCAATACTGAGGTAGTAATATCAAGTTTAAGAGAAAAATGTCAGCAAATTATGATTTGATCATTGTAAAGTGGGGGAAAAAGGAAAACCCAATAATCCAACATTTATCAATGCTAAATGTGTAATGGTTGAGTCATGCGTAGTTAGAAGTCCACTCATATTTGGCCTGTTTCCAAATGCATTTTTTCTGAGTTGACACCAAAATTCTCGGTTTCTGCTGTCAGCCGACGCAAAAAAACAATCATGTACGTTTCTATATTCAGCAACCCAATTCGTTTTCGACGATTTTCAATATGATTTTATAAAATTAATTTTTTTTTAAATTAAATTTTGAATCAAATCAAATAATAATGATAAAAAATCAAAATCAGATCAAAATCAAAGGTAAATTTATTCAAATTCAACTTGATGTAAGTATAATTATTTTTTAAATTATTTAATTTTATTGTTTTATATATTTATATTTATTTTATTTTTATATTAAAAATAATATTTTATTAATTTTAAATTAAATAAAATTTTATATAATATTATATCAAATTGAATTCGTATATAAAATATAAAATAATTTTATTAAATCAAATTAAATTTAAATATTATAAATATAAAAAAAAATGCATATCTTTTAAGCCTCGTCCTTCGTATCTTCTTTTTGTGTTGATTTGATAGAGTTGTCAAAAGTTATCCTTGTGCTTTGAACTCTCCATTTGAATAGGCCACCCATGTCATCAATCAATCAATACGTTCTCATAATTTTTTCAAACATCAAATTTGTCCACATTTTCTTGTGATTTCCAGTGGAAGGTCGGTGTCCCAGATCTTTGCTGTCTTCCTCTATTCATTTTCAGTCTGTTGGGAAAGTGTACTGGCAAATCGTCCTTTTTGTTCATTTGAATTATTGCATGGGGTCCAGTTGTGTTTCTCATCATATGCACTTAGATTTCAACTACATGTCAAAGGGGAAAAAGGAAACAAGAGAAAAGGAGAGAGAATTATCTTTTACTTTTAGTTCTCCAGACTGCAGTGCTAAATTTGCTATAAACTGGAGTTTCTCTGCTGCATTTGGCTACATTTGCCTCCATGTTATCGAATTTTTCACATTTGCTGCAAAATGCTTATGAAATTCCTAGTATTTTGCTTTCTTCCTTTATGTAGGTGGCTATAGAAATTATAATTATATATTCAACCACATCTGTCATTGCCCTCAAGAAGTTCCTATGATCAACTAGAAATATACATTTAGTAATTAAGCCATATGCTGGGAAAAAAGGGTATGGCATGAGTCTTATTAAATCGCGTACATTTTCTTAAACTCATTGTTTAGAATTTCGGATTCTGACATCGCTGACATTGAAAAGGAGCGTGACCTGCTCTCCAATGACGATCTTCGTATACTTCTTAAGTTTGAAGCCTCAATCCGATGCCTAATCACCCAATAACACATAGTGCCTAAAGTTGTGGCCATTATGCTTGTTCCTATAATTGTCACTCCAATAGCAAGCCATCTTTCCTTCTTGCCAACTACAACGAATGACAAGGCTAAGAATGCCACTGAAATAAGCACACAAGCCAACCACATTAACTTGTTGATAATTGCCATCATCTGCTTCTTTGCCTTGCTCTCAATGACTACAACTGAGGTCTGAACCACAACAACTGCCAGAGAAATGAAGAGGGCAATGGAATCAAAGATGAAGAAAATTATAAAGGCAGGCTTTGGGGCTATATTTGCTTCCCCAAGGGAGTGTCCGGGAGGAATGTCAAGCGGGTCATCAACATATTGGCCAGGGACAGTGAAAATGGCAGCAAAGGCAACTGTAGCAATTAGGACAGCAACAACAGTGGTCGAGTTTATTGCATTGTTAAGACCTTCAGCATGCATTTTGTTGAGTCTTTTGGCAATGCCTTGCACATGCTTTCTAGTTTGGCGGGTGTGTTCTAGTTGATTGTGCACTTCATGCTTTATGTCACTCACAGTTTGTTTTAACTCACGGGCTGGATTTGGTGTTGCTGGCTTGATGCTTTGAGCACTTTGAACCCCATGCTGCTGCAGCATGGTTGCAATCTCAGCGTGCCCAGTTTTCTCAGCTGTGTCAAAAGCAGTTTCACCACTTCTGTTAACAGCTTTCGTGTCGGTTTCCTTGTATCCAAGTAGCAACTTAACAATCTGCACAAAAAAAAAGACTACATTAGCATCTTGCCTTGTTCCTTCTATTTGACTCCATAAATGGAAGATGTATTTCTTCCTTCCTCCACAGATTTGATGAAAAATCTTCTGAAATGGCTAGCATATTAAGGTTAAAATTCATTAGATTGTAATTAAACTTTTTTTCTTTTGAAGAAGATTGTGACTATATCTCAATTGTTGTAAGAACTACAGAGTTTATGCTACAAATGCTCTCTCATGAGTTTAATGGGGGGAAATCCAACTTTAGTCAAAGGAGTTTCAAATGATCCACCACAAGATTTTATGAAGGAACAGATATTCAATGTTTTTGCTAGAAATTTCACATTAGTATCTCCATGCCTCATAACTGGCTCATTACAGATTCAGGTATATATTTGCTTAATCCGTGAAATCAAGTCGTCGACAGGATATGAAATTGTCAAGATCTCACCCACACAGCATTTGTTTAAAACAAGCAATCGCTAATCTTTACTTTGAATCCTGATGATATTCTTTTCATTTTTAAATTACAAGTAATTTGACGTTTCAAATATATTAATCCACTAATTCAATTAAATTTTTGGCATATTTGTGAGATACTTCAGCCTTCTGTTAAGAAGTCAACAAGTAGGGGCACAACCAATAATCAAAAGCATTTTTCTTAATAACAATACTAAAGATAAAGATAGGAAGAAGTTCTATCAGAGAAAAGATGCTCTTCCCCCTTATGCAATCATCTAAATACTTAAAACTAAGTTGTAAAAATCCAATTGAAACCCAGAATCTGACAGAGGGAGATGAGGAAGACAGAGAATGAACAGAAGTGGTTCAGTAGAAACCCAAAATTAAACTCTAGAGTAGCCAATTAGCTATGACTTGATTTAAGCAATCAACCAAAAGTCTAAATTATAGGTGAAACAGTGACACTGACCCATTTGCTGATTAAACATGAATGGCTAAACTGATTGCTAAAGGCAAAAGGCTGATGTACCTGAGCTCTTCCCTTCCGGGTAGCTATATGCAAGGTTGTGTTTCCCTTGGTATCAACCATGTTTATCATCAATGAAGGATTCACCCTGATCAATTCCTCCACCACCACAAGATTCTGCCCCTTCACTGCCATGTGAAGTGCAGTCTGCCCTTTCTTATCAGTCCTTGGCGCAATCCCAGGTTCACTAGCCAAAAGTGCTTTCACAACCTCCACATGCCCATTTCTTGCAGCAGAATGTAAAGCTGTTTTACCATTACTCCTTGCTATTGTAGCCAGGCTACTACCTGCCTCCAATAAAAAATTCACAATCTCTATATGGCCTTGTGTTGCAGCCGTGTGCAAAGCCGTGGTGTTTGATAAATCAACAGTCATAGCCAATTCTGGATGGACTGCCAGTAGCACTTTCAATATATCTGCAACAAGGCCAGATTAATACATCACATTCACCTTCAAAATACCTTTCTTGCTTAGAAAACATAGAACTTATGTATCACAAACATACCTAAATCTCCTTGTTTAGCAGCTATGTGGAATGCATCAAAGCCATTTCTAGCTTTGATCCCAGCATCAGCAAGATCATAATAGTTAATCATCTCCTTAACCAAATCAACATAACCATATTCGGCGGCGACATAAAGGGCAGTTTCACCAGATTGGTTCTGTTTAGGTAACAGCTCCTTGAGCTCATCCTCCCCGGTGCCTGTTAGGATTTCTGTCACCACAGCAAGATTTCCAGCTCTTGCTGCAGAATGTAGAGTCGTATCATCACGTTTTCCTGTTAATTGTTTGGTCATCTTTTTCCTACGAGCAGGAACAATTGGCTGCTCAGTTGGTTGTGCCTCCATTGTAATCAAAATCAAAATTCTCCTGTACCTAACTTTAATTATGAATTGAAAGACCTCTTCTTCATCCTCCACCAAAAATCCAGATCAAAATTTGCATTTTTCATCCAAAAAAACCATTATGCATCTAAACCAACCAATGATCCCAAGAATTTTGACGCTTGATTCCTTTATCCAATGTCTGCTTCTGTTGTCTCCTGCATTCCAAAAATTATATGCCTGTTCGCAACAAAAATCCACCATCAGCTTTCTTTCAATGAATATTATAAGGAAACTGCTTTACCAACCAATCTAAACCAGAAGAATAATCAATCCCAGGAACCAAAAACAAATAAAACATGAACCTTTTTTATCCGTTTATCCTCCATTTTTTTTTAAAAGAAAGAAAATTGAATTAGGAACAAAAAAAAAAAAAAAATCATGATAATAGTTACCTGAGTTTGAGGGAAGGAGCTACTTTTGCTCCCATCCATAAAAAACCAAAGCACCCATATATGTCAGGAAGCCGTTTTTAATTAAATTTCTCTGTTTCCAATCAGAATACAAAAAAAGGAAAAACTTTGTATGGTCCTTTGTTCATGAAGAGGAAGAAGGAACAAGACAGAATGTCAAGTCTAGGCTCCAAAAACATAAAAAGCACATGTCCTTACAACTTTATGCGAATCTAAATCAGACCCAAGCCAGAAACTATGCTCATCTAACCAATAAAAGGGAGACTTTTGTAAAGGCCCTGATCTAGGATTCTTCTTCTTCTTCCTCTTCTTTATCTTTATCTTTATCTTTTTTCTTTTTCAGTTGATAATCGAAAATTTGAGGGGCAAAAAAAAAAAAGCGGAATCAAAGCCAGAGTGGCGTTGGCTTATGAAGCCAACGAAATTAACAGAACCCACGCGCCTCTCTTGTCGTTTGACGTAACAGAACCCAGCTAATGCCATTTATTAGCCCCAAGAGTTTTCTAGAATGACTTTTTTTTCTATTTTTTTTAATTTTTTTATAATTTGTAGAAATAAAATATCTAATTCGCTTTATATCTTCTTTTATAAGATTAAATTAAATTTCTTTGCATAAAAAAAAATTGTGATATATATTTTTGAAACATATATATGATATTAATCTTTTTAAAGTTTTTATCAATATTGTATGCTTTAGTTTTCAAGTCAAAATATCGATATATTATATAAAATTATGAAAAAAATTTTATGTATGCAAGCCATAAATTTTATATTAGTTAAATTAAAATTTCTTATGTAGCGTACTTTTTTGTTGCACATTTTTCTAACATTTTAAATATATTTTATTTTGTTTTTTTGAAAAATATTATAAGATTAATGTCATATATAATTCTTAAACTTAGTATATTATTTAATGTGATATTTAAATTTTAAAAATTTTTAATTTGATATTTGAATTATGAATTTATCAACTAATATGATATTTATTTTTAATTTGATTAATTTTAAATAACGATACATAATAAATAAATAATTTTATGAATCTTATATTAATTAATAAGATTTATAATTTAGATATTATATTAAAAAAATTTTAATTTAAATATTATATTTAATATCTTAATATAATTCAAAACCACTAACTCAATATTATATATAAAGAATTAATATTTGATATACTATTAATATAACATTTTAATTATATAAATAGATTTAAAATATATTTTTTAATTAAAATTTTTATTTTTAAATATATTTTAAAAATATATTATTTTTAATTTTATTTATATAATTAAAATTTTATATTAATAATATACTTTGAACCCAAGCAACATAAAATCTTTTTTAACTCAAAAAGTTTGATCTTATCCGATTGTTGGTGCATTAAATGCAAAAGGGCCTTGTATGGCACGCGCTTGAGCCTGCGTGGGCTTAATTGCTAACAACAGATAAAAATTGTAAGAATCAATAACGCTAGAAAATGAAGTTTTTTTACGGTGGGCTTCATGATGACCCCTAAGAAAATATTTAATATCAAAACCAATTGAATTACTATAATTATTAAACTTGAATCATGCAATTAATCGAATGTTTACTATATGAATAAAAGAGCATGAATATTATTTTATAAAAATATTTATATAAAAATATATTATGAAAATCATGTAAAAAAATAAATTAATTTAAAAAAATTTAAATTTAGGCTTCATTTAGATTGACACGTAATTTCGATAAGAGAATTTTTTTTTTTTGAAAAAATCGTGCCCATCCAATTGATTAGCCATTTAGGTGACCAATTTGCATGACAAAATTCAACTTTTAAAGATAGGATGTTTTGAGTTCAATGATCTAATGCCATTTTTTTTTTTACTGTTTTACCTTTATAATTATATTAAAGAGACAATTATATCCTTTTTGTTAATTTAATATATATTATTATTTTTTATTACAATTTATTTTACTACTTTTATTTTATTTATATTTAAACGTATATATTATTATTAATTTTAATTATTTTTATTTTTAATTTTATTAAAATTATTTCACTTGTCTACCAAATAGATCTCAATCATTGGTCAATTACAAGTTAAATGTATTCAAAAATGATTGCAGATGCGAAAAATAAAGCTGACAAGCTTTAAAAGCCAATGGGGTCCACGCGGTAGACCGCGAGTGTAATTTTGTATGGACTCCCGAACGCCCACGTTGCTGACACCACTAGAAATCAAAATTCCCAATTTATGCCATTCAATTTTCGCTCAAACCCACGGCGCCTTAATAGTGCACGCCCTCTTGCTACAGATGTCCGACAAATTCTGGCACGACCGTACGGGATTATCCAATTAACAGATAACGAGGAGAAACTCCAAATCCAACCATGTATATTTTAATTATTTTTAATTAATATTTATAAAATTTGTTAAGTTATACCTTATTTACTTTTTTAAATATTATTATAAAATAATGATTAAAGTTTAGAATTTTTCTCGACGATTAACATATATAAAATCATAATTTTGATATGTGATTTATTTAGTTTTTGATCAAAAAATATAAATAAAAACAGTAAAAAATACATTTATTTATATACTTAATTTAGACCATTGACTTCGGCATAATGATTAATAACTTGGTACATAATTGACCAATATATATTTTTTAATAAAAAAGTTACAAGTTAAAAATTAAAAATATATAAATACTAAAAATTAAATTTATTAATATAACGTTTTATAAGTGGTTGTATAAATTACAATAATAATAATAAATTAAATATCATATCTCATAACTTTGAAATCGTTTGTATGAAAAATTAAAAGATAATTATGTTAAATCATAATTTCGAATTCCTCTTGTAACACCCATTTTTGTCTTTAATAATATTTTTATCGATTTTTTTAATTCTTTTATAATTTTTGATTTCTTGTAATCACATCTTTTATAGTCTGCTCTTAAAAGTTTTACTCTTTCTTGAATTAAAAAACTCACCTCTCTTAATTAGCGCACATATAAATCTATATTTTACATGATAATTGTATAAATTAATTAAGTTAATTAAAATTTGAATTCATCATGAATTACAAAACAAACATACTAAGTTTTTAAGAATATCAAAATATTAGGTATTGATTAATACTTTTAAAATATAAATTTATATTTGATACATTATTAATATACAGACTATATATATTATCAATAAATCAAATAATATTATCTTGTTAATGAACAAATATCAATTTTTAAAATAAATATATAAAAATTAATTTTAAAAAAAATTATTTATTGATAAAGTGATATCATCTTATTAACTTCAATAATGAAATGATATTATCTAATTTACTGATAATATATAAAATTTATATATTGATAATATATCAAATATAAATATTTAAAATATATATGAGTAATTTGTGAAATATATTAGAATGACTCATGTATTATCAAGTAAAATAGAGTGGTCGTGCGTACATTAAATCGTATGGTGAAGCATATGATAAATTGGAATTAAATAGTTGCAACATTTATGATAATTTTAATTTGTAATAATGGATGATTATTTTAATTTGACTAAAATGGCGAGTTTTTTTTTTCTTTTTTTTTTATTACGACGACGATAAAAGTCAATACGTTGTCGTAATGTGGTCAGGTTTACGTTATTATCATGGGATACATTATTTGATAATAGCATGCATCACGCCGATGGCTTTTTCACAGATTAAGTACTATTATATAGTTTTTGGTGCAACAAATATCGAAACGACATTGTGAAAGGTCAAGCTAAATGTCAAAGAAACAATAATTAAAGCACTTGAAAAGAGAGTGAAAGCTCAGCCATGCATGAATCAGCCCAGAAGTTTTATTTTATATATATAACGAAAGTCGTAATTTAAAAATAAAATAATTATAAATATTAAATTTATTAAATATTATTTTTTATATATGAATAGATGGAATTTAGAATTAATAACGAATCAAATCGAAATAAATTTTTATTTATTTTAAATTTGATTTGATTTTTATTTTTATAAATTTTAAACTTGATCCGACTCAAAATTTTTTTTATTTTTTTATATTCGAACTCAATCTGATTCGAAATTAATAAAATATTATTTTTTTAATATAAAAATAATTTTTTAAAATATAAATATATAATTATATAAATATATATATATAAAATAATTAAAAAATAATTTATATATAAGAAATTAAGCTGCCAACCCTAATTGGATTGAGGATAAATTTTGTATAAATTTTTTTTAACTACACTTTTTTTACATTTATAAATTTTATTAGTAATATAAATAATTTTAATAAACGGTCATTTATCATTGATTTATCAATAAAATATTAAAATTTTAATAATTAGGATTCCATTTATGATATTCTCAAGTATAAAATATATATAAATTTGGTAGCATCATATAAAAATTTACAGCATTTTGAATAAAATACAACTATTTTGACAAAAAAAAAAATGCAACTATAGAGACAAAATATATTAACCATTGCTGCAACTTAGGGGTCGTTTGGTAATGTTTCCGTTTTCTTTTTTTTTTTTTTTTTTTAGTATTTTTAAAAATTAAAAATAAAATATATTTGATAGGTTGTTTTTATTTTTTGTTTTTGAAAACTGAAAATAAAGTTTTAAAAATTATTGAAAACAAAAAAAAAAAAATTGATGTTTTCAGATTTTTGAAAAAAAAAGCAAGTAATTAACATTGAAGGAAGCACAAAAGCTTCAAACTTTTGGGTTTTCTGCTTAAAATCTGCAGATTAAGTAAAACACAATACATTGTTTAGTTCACATGGAGGGCGAGCACCCATCGTATAGTCCAAAACAAGGTCACCCTCATGACTCTCCACATGGTTTAAAATGAAAACAAATTGGGCTCCATGACAAATGCGAATCAGTCAGTCAGCTGCACCACCCCACCTGCTGTTTCCAGACAAGGTTATGTCCTTTGGTTTGTGTGCCTGTTTAATTTGTCATTCTTTTCTTTTGCTGTTTCCAGACAAGGTTATGTCCTTTGGTTCGTGCGCTTGTTTAATTTGTCATTCTTTTCTTATAATCAAGCAGAGAGATATACTTGTATATAAATTGCTTCGACAATGACACCAGCTTTTGTTGACCTTTGACTCACCAAAAACAAACAGCTTTACTTGATAGGGAGTGGGAGCTAATAAAGGCCATTTAATGGTAAAAGCTCGAAGGCCTCCTACACATGATTTCTTTTTACTTGGAAAGGGTTTCCCCTAAGGTATAATTATTATAATTTATATTGATATGTTAAAAATAAAATATATTTTTATTTTTTAATTAAATTTATATACAATTCTTAGTAAGATTTTAAATGGAAATAGTTTTGTGGCTTTTTTTACATGATATCTTCTTTAAGTTGATCAGATCTAAGATGGATATTATTTCATGTTTGTATTCTTCTTTTTGATAAGATTAGGTGAGATTTTTGAATGAGCTAAAGAAGACTTTCAATATGTCTAAACTCCAAGCAGATGTACTCTTTGAACGTTCGTTGTGCTGTCCTCGTCCATCAAAACAAGGTAGTGTTAAATGTGTAAATTATGTAATCTTAAGCTGCAGGGTCCCACTCTTGATTGAAGCAAACTACTCTCGAGTGAATCCTTCTGCTTCAAAGAAAGTTGAACACCTAAACTCGAGATAGATTACGTTTGTTAACTGCAATTAAGATGTCTGAATTACCCCCTAAATGCTGGCAGACTGTTTCTAACAATTAAAAGTATTTTAGATTTTTGGATAAATTTGATGTGTCAGTCTGATCTGAAATCGTAATGCCACGTCAAATTGATCACCTCATTAATTTGCTTAATAACCCCTTTCAATGTTATTTATCATCTTTTAAATGAACAATTAATGTTCAAGTCAACTCGACCTGTTAGATTATTACTGACTGTAAGACTAATATCGAATAACTTAAATTCTCCTAAACTCTTCATCTTTCAAGTATAAATAAGATTATTTGGATACCATCCGGACATCTCAGGTTCTCCTACTCTCTATCTTCCTTCCTATTTTATTCTCTTGCTAGTTTCTGATTTGAATATTGAAGAACAAAAGCTAAGGACACCTCCAACCTTAGTCTTTTATCGCTCTCTTTCTCTCTCGTGATTTTAGGATCTTACCTTTCCAGTTCGGCTCGGGCACAAACAATTTCCATTCACATGCAAGTCGGAATCAAGAAATTTTGCAGTCTAAGAGGAGAAAATTCCCTCAATAGAAGCAATAACTCCTGATTTTTATAGTTTCAGCTGGATCCAGGGAAAACTATCCTCTCTCTCTCTCTCTCTCTATATATATATATATATATATATTCTGACAGAGTGCTATATGGTAGTGGTAGCATCTATTGAATCTGAATAATCTGAACAAACACCAAATTGCTTGGAAAATGCTTGAAAGCAGTTAAAATGATATTATTATTATTTCATCAGAATTTATGAATTGGATGTTGCCTTGAAATCAAATAGAAAACTTTAATGGAAACATATAGTGTCAGAGTGATACATTTTATCCTTAAGATGGAAGTAAATAAAATATAACTGAGAGCATCTGGAAACGAAGAGGTGAAATCTGGTATAGACCAGAAACAATGAACTGTCTTCAGATGTTCTTTGAGGCTTCAACCATCAGCTTATAGAGAGCAAACCCACCTTGATGACAGCCAGGCATTTTTGTTGTCATATGCTCTAGTTCAGTCTGATAAACAGAAAAACAAAGAAAACAAATTTATTAATTATAAATAATAGCATGCAAAGCTTTTGGTTGGCATTTTTGACTCAATCCTACAAGACTCAGCATTAAAAACTGTCTATTCAACTTTTGAGAAAAAATGGTTAATCTACACCACAGCCCCAAGCAGGGGGGACAAAGGGGTAGAGGGCAAGAAAAATACTCCAATCAATTTACAGTCCTACCATAACACCATTAAATAAGAACCCCTCCTTACTCTGCATTCTCAACCAGTGGATTCCTGATATATGCTATGCCACAGCCACCTCCAAAGGTTTCACTACACCATTGACATCATCACAACACCACAAAAATGTGCCACCATGGCCACCACCAAAGTATTGACAAATATTTCAAAAGAAAAGATCAAAAAGAACAAGAGAAAGACTGACCATTGAGACTGTATAAAGTTGTGTGGATTCGTAGCCATCTTGTGCGTTAGAATACCGTTGCTGAATTTCTTTTGATTCAAGATTACATTTAATATAGAAAAAGATAGTTGGTCTAACATTCAAAACCCTGCGAGATATGCCAATACAAAGTGGATCTGACTGCAATCAGAAGAAAAATAAAAGCCTATAATTATGAGTGAACAAGAAAATAATTATCAAGGAAAGTATAAAATTGCATTAGAAATCAGGAAGAAAACTAGGGCCAGCAATATGGTTTCCTTGAAAAGGAAAAAGTTATTAATTCAGTACAGAAACTGAGATGAAAGCTCTGTGAAACTAACAAAGTTGTTTCTCAACTGTCTCAAGATGAATTTAGCATGGGGTTCTTTTCCTTTTTCTTTTGGGAACACAGACTAGCATCTTTGACGGGAAAAATGTCATTATTATTAAGAAAATAATGCCAACATAATGAGGGCCTATTTGAATGAAATGTGTATCATTTGATAGAGGGGTTTCATATCAAGGACAAGATATCTAACCTCACCTATTCTGAATTTCAGACCTAAACAGTTGTGAGGTTCAACCAATTATTTTCTTCAAAATGTGTCCTTGATCAAAGAAATAATTGGAAGAGATATTTGGACAAGTATAATTAACCATAACTTTGCAACCATCGGCTAAAAGAAACAGCAATGACAAAGTGACTGTCACTTACCAGGAATGTAGTTGGTACTCCAACTTCCTCAACAAGTTCACGAATAATGCTATCAAACATCTCTTCAGAAACCCTTTTATTAACAAGCTCAGAATCTTTTGGGTCTTTACTGTATTCATGTGTTTCTATGCCAACTTCTTGAGGCTTTCAGACCAAAGAAAAGTATAAACACACCAATGAATGCAGATAAACATGGTATTATTAATTTGTCTGCAAAAGAACAACATGGCATTATTTTCCATTTGTTATTTATTACCTCAGGATGGCCTCCAGGGAAAACAAAATGCCCAGGAAATTCACCAACATTATTACTTCTTTGCAGCACCACTATTTTCTTGTCAGATGTCTCCACAATTGCACCATTACCTAGAGGACTAGAGGTGTGTCGACACTGTGTTGAGTCATCTGCATAAAAATAAAGCTAATAGTCAAGAGATATGAATCACATGTACAAAGAATCAAAAAGTTTGCAGCTGTGTTTGTAGATCAAAGTTAAAACACCAGCTGCACAAAGTATTACACAGCTTTAACCAAAAAAAAAAAAAGTAACACTCAGCAACTAGAAACTAATAAGTATAGTATTACTAATCGATACGTACCTTTTACTTGGAATTCTAATTCTTGGAGACTATCTTTAATAGAAAATGGAAATTTTAGAACAGTTTCATTTCTATCATAGTTACGATGCACCAAATTATATAGCTGAGTATTTTGTGAAGATTTAAGACGCAACATACTACATAATTTGTGTTAACCGCAAACAACAAGAACAAAGAGGAACAAGCTCATCTGCAGTGAATATTGCAAATTCGTATTGAGATACCTTCTGATGCAACCGAGAATTTTTCCCAAAAAGGACTCAAGTTTGTCCCCACAAAAGTTCTGGTAACAAGTAGAGTGTTGAATTATTATTATATCATAAGAGCATCGGTAATTTATAAGCAAACGCTTCTGCGATGCATGTTGGGCTTTACCAAAATGATTGGATATTACATTAAAAAAGATAGTGCAGTTAGAGCATGTGCAGGATGAACAAGTTACAAAAATGCATGTGCAGACAAATCGAGTGAAAGAGAGACCTATAATCTGTCAATCCAAGGTGGAGGCATACATATGACTCTTGGCTTGATCCATCTCTACTCTTCTGACTATATCCTCCATACTGTAAAATTATCAACAATGCCAACAATAATGAATGCTAATGCAAAACAAATAACTGTGAGAATATTCAAGCATGATCATCTTGGTTCTTGCATTACTCATACTCTATATTTCTTTATCAAATACCTCATTACAGAAATGGGGTCAAAATTTCTTTTCATGCATCTCAAAAGGGTGCCCTAAAAGCTTACATTGAAAAACAAATATTAGAAACAAGGGCAGAACATACCCTAAATTTCTTGCCATTGAATAAAGATGAATTTTTCTGAACCCTCTGATCCCATATCTAAGCAAACCAAAAAAAAAAAAAAGAACATTAGACGAAAAAGGAAAAAAAAAAAAACCTGGCTTTCAGAAAGTTAAATCATTTTAAGTTTACCTCAGAAATGGAGTTCTCCAAATTACCGTCTGAATGAGGAATTCTATCGTATGATTCATCGAAAACCACTGACAGCTTCATCCACCAAACCAAACAAATCAAATCAAAATAAAATATATTAATAATAAGTGAAAAATGAAGGCGAATAGAAAAGCAAAAGAGAAGGAAACAAAGAAGTTAAAACCTGTGGTGGAGACAGACCAAAAGGGCATGAGAATAAAAGCTTGTAACCAAGAGAAGAACACCCTTTGCTCTCCTCCTTTTCCATTTTGAGAAATTTTAATGAAAATTTCACAACTTCACCACCTCGTGTTCGATGAAAGTTTTCAAAGAAAATTTTGACAAGTAAACAACTTTCTTTTCTAATAAAAAGTCTTCCAAAGTAAAATTGCAACAAAGTCAAGGCAGCCATAAATTTTTATTTTCTTCTTTTGACATTATAACTCCAATTCCAACATCAAAGTTGATTCAGGTTTTAAAGGTGCAACTGTGATTATAACGGATTTTTCGATCCTGTCAGCAATCAGATGGTTGCATGAAGAGCACATTTTGATAAGTAGGCATTTTTTTTTTCCAATTTTGTTCTTGTTGCCTTTTGACGTCAACTTAAAATGGAATCCAATTCCAATGGCATGGGATCCATGAAATGGTACTCTTAATCAAAGCCCACATATTTAATGTCCATTATGCATCATTTTAATTTGATATCAATCTCCCTCTCTCTCTCTATCTTTCTTTATAAAGTGAGATTAAGAGAACATGTAAAATGGGCCTTGCTTAGTAAGGGTGTTTATTTAATTGATTTGATTAATTTTGATTAAATTAATTAAAATTAAATTAATCGAATTATATTATTTTATTTTAATATTCGAACAAAATTTTTTAATTTTAAAAATTAATTAATCTAAAGTAATTTTGTTGATTCAATTAATTTTTTTATTAATCAAATAATAAAATATATTAAATTATATTATATTTAAAATTCTTATTTTTTATATATAAAATAAATTAAATAAAATCATCAAAAAAAATTTCAAATATAAAAATATTAACTTAAAAACTCAAATAACTTAAAATGAAATGGATAATTTTATATTTTTTTATTTATTAAATAGGTTTTATAATATTTTAATAAAAATTTTAATTAATTTGATTTTCAAACTGAATTAATTAAAAATAAAAAATTTTAAAATTATTTTTAATAATTAATTAATTTAATTTAATAATCGATCAATTAATCAAATTAAATTGATAAAATATATTAATTCAATTAAAATTAAATTATGAACTGTTGCGCGAGCCCAAGCCATAGTCAGATATGGTCCTATAAAATTGGGTGCAGGTGAAGTACTGCCTTCTGGGCCTGGCAAAAGTTTTCATTAACAAGTTTAGCTCCTTGGGCTTCCATAATCATCAACTTAATTTGTTGCATTAGATTATGAACTTGAAAATTACCGTAAACATGTGAATCGACTGTTTGAAAATTGCACACCATTGAAAGAACAAATTAGGGGTTGATTGAACCCCAATACCAACAAAGGGACTCCATATTTTAAAAAGGCATAGTCATCAGCAATTTTTAAGCAATATCCAAGTTTAATGTAAACGGCCTGTTATTAGAATATTGAACTTTGATGACAATTTCAAACATAAAAAAAAAAAAAAAAAAACCCAATTATTTTTAGAAGCATTACCAACCCCATGTCATCTGTGGTTCACATCATTGAGTTATAAAATAAGAGACGTGTGAAACATATGGTGCTATTTAACTTTGGAGCAAAATTTATCAACTTCTTTGCTGAACCAAAAAGAAAAATATTGCAACAATAACTCTTTAGTTTAGCTTAAGAACAAATATGCACGTGAGCCCCCTTTGTCCAAATCCATGTTCCTTTTATTAGCCCTATGACAAACCACATTGAAGGCCATTAAGTTTAAGTTTCTTGAATCGAAATCCTGCACAAATTTTCCTTTTTTGTGGAATTATTAGAACAGACAGCTACTTGAACAGCCATACTTGTGGACAACTTCACATGAGAATGTATTGCATTAAAGACAGAATGATCTGGTATTGTTTTTTCTAGATTTCTTTTGACATTTCTTAAAAACTCCTGTGAACGAAATAATTTCTCCCATATAGCCCTAAAAAAACAGGGCAACTCTTATTTAATTAGCGGTGCATGGTTGTTGAGGGGATGGTTTCTTTGATGGTAGGATTCTTTATTAATGAATCCTTTTGATACTCAATCCTCTTCATCATTTTACAACGTTTGTTTTGCTAATTAGACCTAATTTTTTTGTGTGGTTTGTGTACTTCAGATTGTGACATTTCTCATTTTGTTTCCTTTCAATCATTTTTCCTGACATCAGGATCTGGCATTTTCTAGGGGACAGACATTTTTGCTTCAAAGGGTTGGGTGGAAAACAGCTCTCTTTTCCTTTTGTTTTCCCTCTCATACCAATTAATCAACCCTGTAGAGAGAGCCCAAGCCCTCCAATAGGATATGGCAAGCTTCTGATTCACCATGGGATTAAACAATATTATGAGAACTTGATAGTATACAGAAATTTAATAATCAAAGACAGTAAAACAAGGGAGAGACTTGATCTCTTATGAAAGGGTAAAGAGGAAGAAAAAAAAAACCTTCATATTGGTTCTATATTCTATGTTCTATTATCTTTTTTTTTTTTAACGTCTTAGGACTTAATCCTCTGGAAATTTGAAGGTGCTAGGATCTTCATTCTGGATCCATCCATACTTCTCCATGTAAGGATTAGCCAATGACTTCGGTGGGTACCTGCCAATTTCATCTTTCCATACATTTCCATCCCCTAAATCTCTTACCACCTCCCACAAACAGCTGTTGCATTTAAAACCAGCTCCGAAGCTTATCATCAACACTCTATCCCCTTTCTTCAACCTCTTTTTGGCTTCCATGTATGCTAAAACATACCAAAGACTACTAGCTGAAGTGTTGCCAAATCGATGCAGAGTCATCCTGGCAGGTTCAAGGTCATATTCGGTGAGATCAAGGCTCATCCCAATACCATCAATCACTGCTTTGCCTCCTGTGTGGATGCAGAAATGGTCCACTCCACTCTTGAAGTTCACCGCACCTTTAATAGGTCCCTGAGTAGTTCCCTTGGGGGAACCATGGCGGTTCCATTTCTTAACAAGTGATACTACCATGAACCGAAGTAGTTCTCTAGCAGGCAGGATCTTTGGGGCAATGACCTTCAAATTGTCAACAAAACAACTAGTAGCCGCTTTGGGAAGGCTTTTGCCGAGGTGAAATCCCATCCTTCCTTTCCCATCTTCCCTTTGGATACAACAATCATACGACTCATCTCTGGCCCCATGGTGTGTCCTCACCAGGCATTTCAATTTGAACATTGCACGATGCTTTAAGGACTTGTTGTTTGTCAAAAGAATTGCACAGCCACCCGAACGGAACAAACAATTCGCAAGAATCATGGATCTATCATTGCCAGCATACCAATTTGGACTTAAAGACTCTGATGTAACCAGCAATGCATATTTGTTCTTGTAGGATTTGAAGACATTGCGAACAATATCAAGAGAAATCAAACTTGCACTACATCCCATTCCTGCTAAATTAAAAGCCTTGATGTCTTCCCTCATTTTGTAGTAATTTATGATTCTAGAAGACAAAGAAGGAACTGCGGATAGCATGGAGACGTTGACTACTAGGAGATCAATTTCCTGAGGGGAAATGCCTGCCCTGGACAAGAGCTTCCCGATGCTGTCATAAAAAAATTCTTCCATTTCCAAGATGCCATCTGCCAATGTTGGGCTCTCTTCTCTGCCAGAGAACATGATTCGTGGGGCGTATGTTTGTTCCCCAATACCGGAGCTGACAACAGCTTTCAAGAGGAACTTGTACTCGTTGAGTCCAAGATTCTTGTTCCTTTTTATCACCTCTCCACAGAACTCAGTCCCAGCCATTCTATCATCAGTTGGCTTGTAACATTGGTAGTCTAAAATGTAACATTCTTGGTCTCTCTTGTCATTAGCCCACTTCCAAATTGTGAAGAACAGATATAGGATTGGAAGAAGCAGCAAGAAAGAGAGCAGCTCCATGAGAGAAACACAAGATCAAAAGATCAAAAGAGGAAAGTTTTGTGCTTTGAGGTAAGGAAGCTATACTTTGTCAGATGGGGTGATCAAATGAAAGACTTTATAAGAAGAGACGACCCTTACGAGTTGGGCATGTGAATATGCTTGAGACCCATTGCCATCACTCAACTCCCAACTGAATTTGTGTCTAATTTGGACTCAATCTTTATTATAAACGGCCTAATTTTCTCATTACAAGAACAAAACCAAAGAGCCAAAATGGTCAAATTACAATACATGTCAACTCTTCTTTAATGAATTAAACTCCATATCCTGTTACTATAATATTTTTCTTATTGATTTTAGTTTGTTTTTCCTAATTCCATTTGGGGCGGCAAAAGTGTTAAAAATTCCAATTAAGATATTTGTACTGAAATGAAAAGCCATTATAGTTCACAGTTAGCAGTTTACCCAATAAGGCTATCCACATTTAAAAAGAATGAGGGTGATAGCTACAGAAAGAGATGCGTAAGAAGTGAAAAACAAGACCCAGACTAGGGATGGGAAAGAGTTGGGTGGGACAGATTTTTTTTCACTCCTAATTTGATTGAGCTTTATAAGCTTAATATTGGAGTCCTATCCGATCCAATATTAAAATATTATTTTTATATTTAAATTTGATTTATACATGTTTAAACTCGCAATCGATTTAATTCAATTCAAAATTAATAAAATATTATTTTTTAAAATATAATATAAAATTAAATAAACATAAAAAATATATGAATATAAAATTAAATAAAAAATAATATATATACCAAATTGAGATGAAGTGGATTTGCATAAAATCCAATCCAACTACAACTCTTTTAATAACTTTTTTCAAATTTTGATTTTAAAAAAAATAACCTTATAAAATTGAGTTGAAATCCGATGGATATGGGTTGTATTAGCAACCCTAACCCAGACCTTGTTGCAATTTATTCTAAAAAGCAAGTTAGTTAGTAATTGAAATCTTGATGAGTAAATATTTAATTGACTTATCTTTCTTATTTTTAGAAGTTAAACTAAATTTTTTGTAATACTTTGTAAATGAATAAAACCACATTCATTTATTAAAAAAAAAAAAAAATCTATGAATACGGTGACCAAATGATCTAACTTGTGTTACCAATTGGGTCTGATTAATATCGAGTTTTTTTCGTACAGTAAGACACTTCTAAATCATTTTTCCAAGCTAAGAGTACTTTTAATCTTTTTTTTCTTAAACAAGGTATATATCCTACGTCACTGCCACATCATTATCTAATTATCTATATGGCAAACGTTGTAAAAAAAAAAAAAAAGAAAACAAGTCTTATTGTATGTGTAGACCCAATTTTTTGAGGTCCCTCCAACCGGTTACTCCACTCTACCAAATCACACTCCCTTCACCTTTTCTTTATAAACATCCAATCCTTCTTTCCTTGCAATCCACCAAATTTTCACCATATTTATAAATATTTTTGAGGTGATTGACTTCATTATTTGATTTGGATTTTATTAAATTGTTGATCCCAAGCTTTCAAGTTTTTAGCTTTAGCCTGATGCAAATTTGAAAAGATGTTTCTGTGACAATTGTAGCGGAGCTAACAGAGGAGTACACAGTATTGCTGGCTAG